CATTCATTTATTCATAAATATTTAATGAGTACCTGCTATGCACCAGGCATTATACTAAATGCTTGGGGATAGAACAATGACACAATGGACAAACCTCTCATTCTCATAGAACTTGTAATTCTGGTGTAGAGAGAAACCATAAACAAATAAACAAAGAAATACTACAACATCATGTAGTGATAGGTGCTATAAAACAAAATACAGCAGGGTTGGAAAATAGAGATGCATGGGGCACCATTTCTGATGGGGTAGCCAGGGCTTGCTAAAAGGAGATGACACTTGATTAGGAACCTGAATGAATTCCTGAATGAAATGAGGGTGTCAGCCAATCAAACAAGCAGAAGAGCTCTGCAGAGTCAGTGCTGACACCCAAGGCAGTGCCATACTTGGAGGGTACAGGGTATCTAATGGGCCACTGCAAGAACTATGAATTTTATTCTAGTGTAATGGCAGCTTGGGCTTTATTTCACTGGCCAAGGGGTGTTGAAGGTTTTGGAGCAGGAGAGTAATGGACTAATGTGATATGAGCTGTTGTTTTTGGGCAGTGACGTACCAGCTTTGGGGGGGAAAAATCACATAGAGGCATCATACTTGATCCTAATAGAAAAGGGATGCTCTGGCTGAAGTGGAGGTGGAGTTCAGAGCCCCAACCACTCACCTTCTCCTCTTGCCTTCCCTTGAGACCCCAGGGAGCCTCAAAACTCTTGACATTAGGGAGGTGGCTGGGGCAGCTGTGTAGAATGGCTGCAAGCCACAGACACAGGAAGTGGGACCAGAGCTCAAGGTCTTCTGGTAACCCAGAGGAGAGATGCTGAGGGTTTAGGCTGGGTGAGGGGTATAGAAGTGGAGCAGAGGATATGAAGCAAATTCAGTTCGTTCTGCTTATCCCTCTCAGCTAATGTGTGCCAATGCTGTACACGACCAGGAAGAACTAAACATACTCCATGCCAAAGAGAAAACCATCTTTGAGATTTGAGGGTGATGATTTTATCAAGATGAGTGATCTGCATAGAGATGAGGAAAGCTGTAGAGGAATTTGGATTTGATGAGAGATCGGACAGTTGGACTGGATTCATTTCCTCCCTCTTTCCACATAGAGCACATATGAAATATGACCCTTCAGGCTCCTTGGCCACTACCTATCCTCCCTTCACTCCACAGCCTCCTCAATGTTCCTTGACTACGCTGGGCACACTTCTGTTTCGGGTTCTCTGCACCTTTGTTCCTCCTACCTTGAAAGCTTCACTTCAGATGCCCATATAGTGGATCCTTCACTGCCTTCAGGTCTTTGCTGAAATGTCCCATCTCAGTGAGGGCTTTCAAACCCATTCTACCTCCTTGACAGTTCCTATTTCCCTTCCCAATTTTTTTTTTTTCTCCTCAGCACATTGTACTATCTAAAGTCGTATATATTTTGCTTTTTAAATAGAGTTAATATCTGTTACCTCTCTCACGATTTAAGCCTTTTGAGAGCAGGGACTCCTGCCTGTTTCACATCTGCCATACCTGCAACAGTGCTCAGCAGAGGGATTCCATAGAGCCTTCTGGAATGACTGAAGGATTTTTCCTTTATGAGCAATTGTCAGAGGGTCTAGGGCCGGTAGTTAATTTATTATTATAGAGGATTTCTGTTATATATATATATATATTTTTTTTTTCCAGCATCAAAGCACATTTGTTGTGGGCTGTGTGGTGATCTGAATATAATTATTTTATACCTTGATCTGTTAAAAATACAAAAACATATGCTAAGCATGGGGTGTATTAGTCCCCATGGGATGTAAGACTTCTTCTGACCATATTTTCTCCCAATGCCCCCCATGCCAGGGACTGGGGTTCAGTGGTAAATGAATGTGGTACACCATTGAATACTAGTTGGTCTTTGCTGTTTCTTAAAGCAATTCTATAATTCATAACCTGCATTTACAGTTCACTGCAGGGTTGTCATTGTACTTACCAAGAGTCTTCAACTGACAGGTTGTGTTCCTAAACATAGTTTTAATTCAGCTGTTTGAACATATTGTCTTATAGAACTTGCGTAATAAATGGGGAGTTTCCAGGCTGGGCCACAAAAGTGCATTTAAGAATAAGGCAATTGATAACCATAAATTTAAGACGAACACTGTAGAAAATAATGCTGTTAGATTACTCACATCAAACAACTCAATAGAAATTGAACTCAAAATATGTTTTTATGTACCAAGGTGGCCGTTCTTGAAAGAATCTTTGGGTTCTTCCAGGTGACCTCATATTTGGTGTCCCATCCTACACCAGCACCCTTGTCCCCCATTCTTGACTTGTTTGGTCTTCTCTTTGCCATTTCCCTTTTTTTTTGCCAGCTATGTACTTTGTCATCTATTCCTGCCTTGTCTCTCTGAGAGTTGAGGCCTCTCCCACCTCTTTCTTGAACTCTATGGCCATTGCAAAATATTCTCTCATCTTTTTTGTTTTTACTTAAAAATAGAGAAAGGAGGTCATAGGAAGAGAGCCAGTCAAGACCACCTGTTTTTTGGCTGCTCCTGTTTGGAAGGATGTGGTCGCTCATTTGGATTCCAATGGAGACAGGAAAAACTTCCCCATGTCATTCAAGAATATCAGAAATTGTGGCAATGTTTTTTTGTTTTTGTTTTTGTTTTTGTTTTTGTTTTTTTGAGATAGAGTCTCACTCTGTCGCCCATGCTGGAGTGCACTGGTACAATCTCAGCTCACTGCAACCTCTGCCTCCTGTGTTCAAGTGAGTCTGCTGCCTCAGCCTCCCTAGTAGCTGGGATAACAGGTACGCACCACTATGCCTGGCTAATTTTTGTATTTTTAGATGAGATGGGGTTTTGCTATGTTGGCCAGGCTGGTCTTGAACTCCTGACCTCAGGTGATCCATCCGCTTCAGCCTCTGAAAGTGCTAGGATTACAGGTGTGAGCCACTGCGCCCAGTTCATTGTTTTTTATTTCTTATTTGATTTTTTAAAAATGTAATGCTATAAATAATCCTTATGCTTTAGGTCTACAGATATAATAGGATCAATATGAATATGAAGGTATATATCAGTTGGTCTATTTTTTGCCCACAGTATATCTAAGACAATGTAAGAATGTATTATGTGGTAATGTTGTTCCGCTCTGCTTGGGAGTGTGAGCTACAGATTTCTTAGGTCCTCATTGCTTCACACATAATAGAAAAATCTATGGGGACGGGGAGACACTTGGCTTCTGTCATCTAGGTGGGTCACACAGTCACTCTCCTAGGGCTGAACTTCCTTATCTTTCAAATGTGAATAATAATCCCTGCTTTTCCAATCTTATTAGACAGCTGACAGGGACAGAAGGCATAATATAAAGGGACTTCACAAAATTAGTGGAAAATAGAATTAAAAGATAAAAACAGAAAATATAAACTTTATTTTTCAACACAAGCTTCTGGCTCACACCTGTAATCCCAGCACTTTGGGAGGCTAAGGCAGGTGGATCACTTGAGCCCAGAAGTTTGAGACCAGCCTGGGCGACATGGCAAAATCCTGTCTCTACAAAAAATAAAAATAAAATAGCTGGGCATGGTGGTGCATGCCTATGGTCCCAGCCACTTGGGAGGCTGAGGTGGGAGGACCACTTGAGCCTGTGAGGCAGAGGTTACAGTGGGTAGAGATCATGCCACTGCATTCCAGCCTGGGTGACAGAGTGAGACTCTGCCTCAAACAAAACAAAACAAACAAAAAACATAAGCTCCATCAACTTCAAGACACTTTTATAAGTGATGATACCAGCCATTTATCATCATGATACATCCCTAAGGAACTGAGAGTCCTGGGAACTCAAACGAGAAATGCAGTCATTTTTACATTTACTACTTCATTTAACACTGAAGAAAAATGAGTGCCCTTTAAAAAATATTTTTAAAGTTAGGAAACAAAAAGAAGTCAGAAAGAGCCAAAATCAGGACCATACGGTGGACGCCTAATGATTTTCTATTGAAACTCTCACAACAGTGCCCTTGTTTGATGAGAGGAATGAGCAGGAGCATTTTCATAGTAGAGAGGGACTCTTTGGTGAAGCTTTCCCGGGCATTTTCCTACTAAAGCTTTGATTAACTTTCTCAAAACACTCTCATAATAAGCAGACCTTACCGTCCTTTGGCCCTCCAGAAACTCAACAGCAAAATACCTTGAGCATCCCAAAAACTTTCGCCATGACCTTTGCTTTTGACTGATCTGCTTGTGCTTTGACTGGACCACATCCACCTCTTGGTAGCCATTGCTATGATTGTGTCGTGTCTTTAGGATCATATTGGTAAAGCCGTGTTTCATCTCCTGTTACATTCTTAAAAGACGCTTCATGATCTCGGTCCCATTTGTTTAACATTTTCATTGAAAGCTCTGCTCTTGTCTGCAGCTGATCTGGGTACAACGGTTTTGGTGCCCATCAAGTGGAAAGTTTGTTCAACTTTAATTTTTTAGTCAGAATTGTGTAAGCTGAACCAGTTGAGATGTCTGTGGTGCTGCTATTGTTTGTGCTATTGATCATTGGTCCTCTTCAATTAGGGCATGAACAAGATTTTTTTCCTCACAAATTGATGTGGATGGTCTGCTACCACTGGCTTCATCTTTAACATTATCTCAACCCTTCCTAAAATGAGTTATCCATTTGTAAACTGCTGATTTCTTTGGTGCATTGTCTCCATAAACTTTTCACAAATCGTCAATGATTTCACCATTCTTCCACCCAAGCTTCACCATAAATTTCATGTTCGTTCTTGCTTCAATTTTAGCAGAATTCTTGATGCTCTGATATGCGCTGTCTTTGAATTTGTGTCTTATCCTTCTTCTTCTTCTTCTACTTTTTTTTTTTTTTTTTTTTTTTTTTTTTGACAGGCCCTTGCTCTGTCACCCAGGCTGGAACGCGATGGTGTGATCTTGGCTGACAACCTCTGCCTCCCAGGCTCAGGTGTTCTTCCCACCTCAGCCTCCCGAGTAACTGGGACTAGAGGCGCACACCACCATGCCCAGCTAATTTTTACTTTTTTTGTAGAGATAAGGTTTCACAATGTTGCCCAGCCTGGTCTTGAACTCCTGAGCTCAAGTGAGCCACCCGCCTCAGCCTCCCAAAGTTCTGGGATTACAGGTGTGAATCACCTTGCCTGGTATATGTCTTATCCTTCCTAGTGCCTTAAACTAGATTATCTTCAGGTATATTGTAACAAGTTAATATGAGTTTATTTTGGTGCAAAAAAAATTGAAATCCATGCATAGTTTTTTTCATAATACGCATTTTCTATGAACTTTCGAAGACCCTTCATAGAAAAGAAATTGCTTCTAAGACTTAAAAACCCTAGAAGCCATATTACAAATTATCAAAAAATTAACTCTGCCTATCTCTGCAATGTTCTCATAACCTAGAAAGCTCAGTACTCTTATATCACCTAGGAAAGTCCCAGAGTTTGCGCAGGAAGGGTTGAAATCACTTAAAGTCTGATATTTGTTTTGGAACCATTATCAATAACATAAGTAAGTAGTTTCATTATTAAGAGCTCTAAAAGATGTATTTGCAAAAGGAGAGGCTAGAATGAACAAATGCCGTGTTGAGAGAATGCTAAATTTGATACCTGCATTTTTCTTCTGCTGACTGGGTTAGGCCATTTGCACTTTAGAATTGGGAAGAGGACAGACACATTAAGAGCATGACAGACAGAAATATCCTTATGCCACCTACAAATTAAGGAAACTTTCTCCCTCTGGGCCTGACTCAGGTGTCTAGAATGTACACCTGCTGATAAATAACAAGAGTATTCACCAGTGTGGTTATTTTCTCCACCTGGGTTATTTAGGGATTTCAGCTCACTCTATAAATGATTAGTGTGTGTCCTTATAGAATAAGTTCTATGATGTGTAACAGAAATTCATGAAGAACATTAGCCATTTGTACCATTCTCCTAGCCAGCCAGAGACCAGTGTGGACACAGCATCTTTTGCTCTAAGACTTACCCATCTGGCAGAGTGTTCCAGCTCACCAAGGGCCTTTCTCAGAGGCAAACCTTGGGACAGACAGAAGACATTGACTGTTGTTGTTGTTATTTTTCTTTTGCCAAATCAATAGCTGCCTACTGACTGTTGTTTAAAGACTGAGGACTCAGTGACTTTGAAATCATGGAGAGCAGGAGTCTGGCTTTTTTTTTTTTTTTTGAGATGGAGTCTTACTCTGCTTCTCAGGCTGGAGTGCAATGGCTCAATCTTGTCTCACTGCAACCTCCACCCCCAGGTTCAAGTGATTCTCCTGCCTCAGCCTCCTGAGTAGCCAGGATTATAGGCGCAGGCACCCCACACCCAGCTAATTTTTGTATTTTTAGTAGAGACGGGGTTTCACCATGTTGGCCAGGCTGGTCTTAAACTCCTAACCTCATGATCCGTCCACTTCAGCCTCCCAAAGTGCTGGGATTACAGGCATGAGACACCACGCCCAGCCAAGTCTGGCATTCTTGGCCTGAGGAAGTGACAGTGTGATTGAGAGTGAGCCATTTGTCTGCTCTGGGCCTTAGTATTTTATCTATAACAAAGCAGGACTCTTCCAGCTCTACAAATGTCAAGAGCCAAAGTCAATGTCTTAAGCACTACCTGTCCAGATTACCACACACCTCACCAAGTGAGCCTTGGTAGGAAGCTGAGGCCAAGTGGGCCAAATGGAACTGCTGGGAAGATTTGATAGGCCCTTTACAATGCTTGTTGGAAGTATTTCATCACAAATCTTTGCAAATCACAAGACATCATATAAGAAACTGGATTTCTTGGCCAGGCGCAGTGGCTCACGCCTGTAATCCCAGCACTTTGGGAGGCAGAGGCGGGCGGATCACGAGGTCAGGAGATCGAGACCATCCTGGCTAACACAGTGAAACCCCGTCTCTACTAAAAATACAAAAAATTAGCCAGGTGTGGTGACAGGTGCCTGTAGTCCCAGCTACTCAGGAGGCTGAGGCAGGAGAATGGTGTGAACCCGGAAGGCAGAGCTTGCAGTGAGCTGAGATCGAACCACTGCCCTCCAGCCTGGGCAACAGAGCAAGACTCCGTCTCAAAACAAAGCAAAACAAAATGAAACAAAAAAGAAACCAGATTTCTGGCTGCCCCTAAAAAATCAAAAGATCTGGCCACATTGGGCCCAAATTCTGATATGGCAACAGTTAGCTGGAGTTTGGTGGTGGCTCTTCCCTTTGAATGAGGCATGTGTTCTTCAGTTTGCCACAGTCTCCACCACTCCCTATTGTAGGCTGCACCTAGTCTACTTTACAGTATCCTCCTGACTCCTGTAGACATTTGAAGTTCCGATCCTTGCCTTAATATCTCTTCCATACCCAGGTGTATTAATCTCCACTTTCAATACCTTTTCTAAAAGCAGACTTTCCGTAGACAGAGATATTAACATCTTGGCATGAAGCAGGTGAGCAGAACACTATTCGCCAGGTAGGAGGATCTTGGAGTCCTGGTGAGGAAGGAGGAGGGCCAAGAGGCCAGGGAATAACTTTAGAAGGGCAAAGGATTACATAAAGTAGCTCTGTCCAATAGAAATATAATACAAGCCACAAATGTGAGCTATATATGCAATTGAACATTTTCTAGTAGCCACATTATGAGGAAGTAAAAAGAAACAGGTGAAATATTTAACTGAACATACCAAAATATTTTCATTTCATTATGTAATTGATTTTCAAAATTTATCAGTGAGATTTTTATATATTTTTACATGAAATCTCTAAAGTTCAATGAGTATAGAATACTCATTGCAGGACATCTCCATTTGGACTAGCCACATTTCAGGTGCTCATAGCCACATGTTGGTAGTTGCTACCATATCAGACACACGGAGGTAGAAAATTAAGAAATTGTTGACCAGCGTACTAGTTTTGCCTAGAGCCCTCACTAGCTACATATGAGATTCAGAAACGAACCACATTTATTGAGTGCTCACTATGAATTGTATATAACAAATATGTAATTTATTTCATTTTAGTTTGCATGTCTCACCACAAAAGACAGCTAGAGCAGAGGGTAAATGCCATTGAAATAGGCCTGATAGACTGCCTGACTCTGTCTGCTGCTGTAGCATGGCTGTGGTATTTCTTAGCCTCAGTTTTGTTATCTCCAAAACTGGTAATAATTGCATCTACCCTAAGAGGTTATCATGAAGTTCATTAAAATGTTTTATAAACTGTAAATAATTATATAGGTTTAACAAAAAGAAAAATATCTTTATTTTTTTGAATTGCCAAGTTCTGTGCTAGGCACTTTGCACATGTTATCTGTCTTCATCTTTATAATACCTTTATCAAATCGTATTATTATCCAGGCTTTAAAGGAGAAGAAACTGAGCCTTATAGAAATTCAGCATCTTGTACAAAGTCAACAGGTAGTGAGTGGCAGAGCCGTTCACAGCTTTGAAAATAGGGTGTTTGATATTCATGGCACCACCCTAGTTAGAGAGAGATGGAGAAAGAGAGAATATAAATCTTACACTTCACTTCACTTTCTGAGACATTTGAGTAAGTGTTTTAAACATGAAGAAACTGGGAGCTGGGAGCAGTGGCTCACACCTATAATCCCAGCACTTAAGGAGGCCGAGGCAGGCAGATTGTTTGAGGTCAGGAGTTGGAGACCAGCCTGGCCAACATGGTAAAACCCTGTCTCTACTAAAAAAATACAAAAAAATTAGCCAGGCATGGTGGCGTGAGCCTATAAGCCCAGCTACTCAAGATGCTGAGGTAGGAGAATTGCATGAACCTGGGAGGTGGAGGTTGCAGTGAGCTGAGATCACACTACTGCACTCCAGCCTGGGCAACCGAGCAAGACTGCATTGCAAAAATAAATAAAATAAATAAATAAATAGTGAAAAAGAGAAAAGAAACTGGGGCTTTATAATTATATCTAGGATCACACACGTGGCAAATTAATGGCCCAGGCAAATTAAGAATTGGACAATCTCTAGGATTCTCATTCTGGATTTAAATCCACTGAACCACTGAGCTGAAGAAATCTCTTGATTATTGAGATTATTTTTTAATCCTCCCAAAGAAGAGCTAATCCCTCTGAAATCAAACCTCTTCAGTGGAGGAAATTAATGTATAGGACTGGCAGGTAAATACATTACCATTTTGTGACTCTGCTTCTCCTTTGCTCAAATAACTACAATCTGCTTGAGTTCGTCTTAATTCCTCTTCCTACTTCCTGAGGAGCGAGTTCCTGCTTCTTTAATGAGTTAATTTTTTATCAATTTTTCTAGCTCCAGCCTGACTCATGCAAATAGATAAGAAAGATTATTTGTGACTAAGCTCCTCCACAATTGCATATAGACACAGTGTCAGCCAAGGCATTATTGTCTCAGAAAGGATGTTATTTCTATCCCAGCAAATGACACTATCTGTGTTAGTCTATTTTTTTTAACAATGTCCCCACAAAACCTTCCCACCAAGTGGGTCCCTTTTGCTGTGTGCACGCTTGAATCCTTCCCAGGTGGTACGTTTGTGTGTGCCATTCCTCCCACCTGAAGAAACTTGTCCTTTAGTCTCTCCCACCCACATCTTGCCTGTCCTTCAAGGACCATTTAGCTGAGGTCAGGGACCTGACTATTTCAGGCAAGAAACAGTCTTTGACCTTCAAGCACATATTGGCCATACCTCTCATTTGAAATCATCTCACATTTCACTTTGTGCTGCCATTGAACTAGTTCATCTGTGTTTTCTACTCAACTAGATAAAGGTTCCTTGAAGATGAGGCCCTTATATCAACAGTGTTTTACATGTCAGCAGTACTTAAAATATTTTATTGATAAAATGTATGAATACTTATTCCGTATAGTAGGGCTGGATATAAAATGGTTGTGTAATTTCTGTCGATTTAAATAAATTTTAGATTTTGAAAATCATATAGAGTAGTTCTCTTAGGGTAATAAAGCCCTGTCATGATTTCAAGGTTCTTAATTATCTTATTCTCCTTTCCTCTGTCACATCTCTATAGGCTATGAATGTGAGTCACTAAATCTTGCTGGATTTCAAGTTTTCACCTCTGTTTAAGAGTACTTTGATAATGTAGTTCTCCATTTATATTATGCATTATTAATATACTTAAGCAAAAGGCTGGATTATTCTGCAAAGTATGTAATCAGAGTCATATGAAAAGCAACAAAATTGATAAAGATATTAAAAAACTTTGCTCCTGGTGAAATTGAAAGACTAATTGAAAACTATGACTCAGCTGTCTGCATTTTTTCCTGATTTAACAAAGCAGCACAAAATGTACAGTGGCCATGGATAAACTCTTAATGCCCTTCAAGGTAATGAGTAACTACGTGTGACTAAGATGGAATTAGGAGAAAGTCTCAGACATTGAAAAAACACAGTTCCCATGTCTGGTTAGTTCTGGATACTCCCAGTTCTGGGAAAGATTATCATATCATACGCTTGAGTGACATCGGCATTCTTATTTGTCAATGAGAACCTGGGAGGAACAGTTATTGTCTTTAATTTAAAAGTAACTACAGTGATAAAATTCAGGGATCTGTAAATTCCTTGCGCTCCCAGAGGGTCTTTCTCTCATACATTCACCCTTTCTCAGGTCTTTTCATATTTTCATCAAGTTCTGTTTGTGAAGTCAGCAAATACCGGGACAGTAAATGTTGGCAAAGCAGAACATTCCTTTGGGGTCTGGGTTTTCAGGTCCTTAAAGAATAGATTGGGCAGGTAGTTTTCATGAGAATAGTGCTCAGGCTTACCCTTAAGTAAAACAAATTAAATTCCAAGGTGAAGACTGTTATCAGAAATCCCCAAGCCCAGCCCAGCTCCTGAACTCTCCGTACCGCTGCCATGGATATTTCAGACAGTAAACAGAACTTTTGGCCAGTTTAATTCACTATACCTGCCTTGGGCTATTTTAAAGTTATTTGACTTTCTAGCCTGTGGAACTGGCTATAGTTTGCTTTCAAAAGCTGCTTTTTAAGTATCTGAAACCAACTGATTGCTCTAGCAGCTTCTCTCCAATCTTCCTGCAGTACCCACACATGTCAGAGAGAAAAAGAAAGGTGCTAGTGCCCCTTCCCCCTCCTGTAGGATAAGCCACTCTCCTAACACTTTGGTCACCACCCTGATGCAGGCCACCTGCATCCCAATCTAGTAAGAGGCTTCTGGTTTCTATAGTTATCACCCAGGAACCTTGAAGCCCCCTCTTTCCTTGCTTTCCACATCCAATCAATCAACAAGTCCAGTCAGCTCTACCTCCAAAGACCCCAAATCTGTCTATGCTCTCCAAGCTGGATCTGGTCACCTTGGCCCCATCACCATCCTACCAGATTAGACTCCTGCCTGGTCTTCCAGGCCTCTCTTGAGCCACTTCAACCCCTTCCTCCCACAGCAGCCTAAGTTCTCTTTTTTAAACATAAACCAGACTATGTTACTCCCCTGTTTCAAACTCTAATTGCTTCCCATTATGTAAAAAGCAGAAAAACAAAGCCTCCCCCTTTCCTGGACTCCATCATCACAGCTCACCAAGCTCACCCCCGCTCCTTGCCCAGGCTGCTCTTCTGCCTAGAGTCCTCTTTCCGCTGACCTTGCCTGGATGACTCCTCCTGCAATCTGATCTCGACTTGTCACTGCCTCAGGGAGGCCTGACCTGGTTTCCTGCTCTAACAGAACCGTGTAGTCACCCTCCATCACATTACTCTGAGTCAGTTCTCTGAAGACCATTTGTCACAGTCTGATATTTTCTTATTTATTGTTTTTAACTAGTTTATTTAGCATTCATCTTTCCCCATTAGGATCTCTTTCTTTTTCATCCCTATATCTTCCATGTCTAGAATAGAAACTGTCACATAATAGATGCTCAATAAATATTTTAACGGATTACTAGAAAAATAATAAATGTCATGGCCTCTAGTCATTCAGTATTGGTATCTCTTGAGCATTGATGCATGCAAGGTTTTAACCTTACACAACACTGACATGGCCATTTGCAATTTAGGTATAACTTTCACCGCACTATCTCATTTTACCCTTTTAGGAAACAGGGTGGGGAAATTAAGGAAGGGAGTTAAGGACCTTGCTGTCAAGAAGCTGTAAGCTGCTTTCTATCTAAAGCCTGAAAAAGGAATATGCATGTTAGAAGCTCAGTGCTTTTCTTGCAACAAGGCCACTTGAGACTAGAAGCCATCCACAGTCTCCAAGTATTTATTTGCACAGTTGATCTGCATCCTCTTGATTTTTAGCTGGAGCAGCAAGGAGGAGTTTAATGAACAGTGGATGGGCACTAAGGGAGAGTTGGGGGAGTTGCAGGACAGTGAAGGGAGGCCCTGTAGGGTGTGAGCCCCTAAGGAGAGCAAAGTCAGAGCCAGAAACTGAGGAGCTGTCAGCACAGAAAATTTTAGATCCTCAGGTGCAAGCAGAGCAGCTTTGGGACTCAAACTATAAAAAAACTGCACAGGGTGGGGTGAGGGTGTTTTCCCCAGTTCTGCGAGGAATGTGGCAGGACCACAGCACAAGAAGGAATGCAGGGAACACGGAACTCTGTGGCGCTTTGCAGGTGGGGCAGAGGCCAAGGGCTAGTTTCGTGACCCTGGAAGACAAGCCCTGAAAGAGAGAAGCATCACAGGAAAGATTTTCATGAGAGATGTCACAGTGCTTTCTTTTGAGCTGTGCCACAGTCACAGCCCACCAAACACATCCCTGAGGTCCCCAGGGAGTTATGCATGGCTTGGGCACCTGAAAGCTCAAGGCTGCCCCAGCCAGCAGCTCAGCCACCTGCGCTAGGTGGGCTGAGCCAGAGACTTGGCCCTGAGCAGGGGAATTGAGACACAGGACACCGACAGAGGGGCAGTTTCAAATGGTTGACAAGCCATGAACATCCAAGAGCTGCAAACTTTTTCTCTGCCTACTTGGTACATTCTGTGGACTCCCCCCAAAGAAGCAGACAAACTTTGAGAGAGGGGAGGTGTGAAGGACAAGAGTCACACAGGTGGAGCGAGTAACTAGCTAACTCTCAGTGAAAGTGGTACCTAATTGGCTCCCGCAGGCTGGTGAGGCCTGGGGACATTTGGTTACATACCTGCCAAGGAGGTTTGGAAAACAGGTTCAGACCTACCCAGTTGGGAGGCAATTAGGAATCAATGCCAAAAGGGAGCCAAAGGCAACAGTGAGCAGAACAATAGCCCTGTTGTGGAACCCAGCCCTCCACAGACTACCAAATGCAGCTCCAAGCCCACTGGCCGCTCAGTGTCTGCACTCAGATAGGCATAATTAATGAATAGGAGCTTGCTGTAATCACTTCTGCCCTAGGGCTGCACTCTGCAAAAGTTTACAGAATATGGAAAAGAGTTTCCTTCATTGCAATGGCGCTGTAAATTCCCACAGAAAAGAGCCCCAAGTTGTCAAAAGATCTGTGGCAAAAGGGTTTCATTGAGATTGGATCCATGAAGTTATCTATTTAGGAGTTAAATATAGACATATGTAACTTGTCTTTCACGTTGCCAGCAAAGAAATTTAAGATTTGTTTATCAGAAGGCATAGAGTTTAGTCTATCTATTCTTATATCCTGAACAACCTAGCTGGGATCTTGCACACAGTAGGCACTCAGCATCTGTTGCCTGAAAGAATCAAATTCCCAAAAGAAATGAGCTTTCTTTCTGACTCAGGAGCTCATCTCTAGAGGCAAAACCATGGAGCTTGGTGTGAAAGATACGCATTCCTAATGACACAGCGAGAATCAGGTTCCTTTCACAGTAACCCTCCCTGGAAAAATAAAACAATTCTACTGAAATAAGAGTTGAATCAAAGTAAAATAAGAAGATAATGAAACAATTCTATCTTTTGGCATGGGCTAGTTGCTCACCCTCTGGAAAAGATTCAACATTTGGTTTATTGGAAACCTCTGTGTGTGATGTGTATATATGGTTTGTGGGATGTGTGCACAAGTGTGTTTGTGTGCTGTGTCACCAGAACGGCAGAAAGCATGAGTCTATGACCATTGAGCCCTGAGAATGCCATTGCTAAGCAATTGGAATAAAAGTTCATCAGTGGGCAGGATGAAGACTTAAAAGCTAACTTGAGAGCCAGCAATGGGCTATTAGCCATCGTGGAGTAGCCCAGGAATCTCTGAATAGACCTAAAAGAGAGCCCTAGGTTAGTGTTGGAGGAGGTGAGTGGGAGGGTGGGTCTTTGTGATAAAAGATGATGACAGTGTTCACTGGGTTGGCAGATGTTGGCAGAGGGGCTCACATCTGCATCTCGTTTACCTTTCCACAGACAGCCCTCCCTGGGCCTGCTCAACAGACTAGCTGGGCACACTAGTCCACGAGAATCCAGGCAGTATCCCCACCAGCTCTGGGAAGTGTGCTTATCTCAAAGCTTGACTTCATCAAATGAATACCAGGGACTGTCAAGCAAACTCAGATGGTTTTGGGATTGCAGCACCTTGGGGTGTGCTGTAATTGTTACTATTGTATCACTACAGCTGCTATTACCAGGAAGGCAATGAGTCTTTCAGGAAATGTATCCGTCCTTAAGTGGTAGCAAGACCTTTTAGAGAATTCAGGCTGCCCAAGATTCTGACTTCAAATTCACAGAATATGTGGCTCCTATGCAACTAGATTTCCTAGAACACCGCAAGTCTCAAATATCCTGCACCCTTGTCCCATGAGTACTCCACGGGTAGACCCTGCCAGGGCTTAGTGCTTGCTTTTGGTTGAGAATATGTAATAACTGCCCTAGTTTGATAGCAAAACTGAGATTCTTTGCATCAGTTGTTGCTTCTGAAATGATGATGACTCATCTGTCCCTGCTAACTTCAAAGCTGAAGGTGAGTCATCAGGGAGATAAGAGGTGGCTGTACAGACCCTGAGAACTCGGGTTTAGGAATTAAAGAGACACGTCAGACATGACAGGAACAAGCCAGAAGTCCTTAACCACCCTCCCTGAGCTGAGCCCTGTGAAGGGCTAGTTTTAATTTAATCTAGTTTTTCTCTCACCACTTTCATTTTTATTTATTACTGCCTATTGAGCCAGAAGTGGAATGGTCAAAACACTTCCAGTGAGGCTGATTTTTCAGGGTGTTTACAGTCAGCCTGGAAGCAGCAGGAAGTGGAATTTATAGATTTGCATTACTAGGCAGGCAATTTCCCAAACCTCAAGATTTGAACTTGTTTTTAATTAAATAGATGTATAGGCCTTAATGGGACTAGGTCTCTGAATCCTATTTCCCTGTAGATTGAAATAAGATCCTTAACCCAAAGGCATTTGCATGCCTGAGAGAATACCAACAGTTGGGTGCTCCAATCACTAAGAAGGACGATTGCAGAGTGAAGTCGATCCCTGGGAAGTCAGAAAGGTCTTGGCATGTGTGGAGGGTGCTGTCACACCTAGTACTGGACTTAAAGGAAAAGGTTCTTGCAGCATGATGAGTTTTTTCAGCCATGGAGAGGCAGCATCCATCGGTGATTAAAAGCAGGGCTCATTCTGGTTGGGTTCAAATCCCAACTTCCATTACACTCTGGCTAACCTTGGGTAAATTTCTTAAATCCTTTAAGCAAAGCTTTCCTGCTTTTATGATGGGGATAATAATAGTACCGCTATGAAAGACTGCTGTGAACAAACCTGCAATGACTGCTGATTTAAAAGCCTTTATCTGCACACATCAAACCATGTTACTCCCCTGCTCAAAACCCTCTCATCTCGAGAGGAAAACCTCAGTGCTGTCTAGGACCTTCAAGGTTCTGGTTTCCCACTATTTCTCTGGCCTCCTCTGCATCCCTACCCCATACTCACTGCCCCAGCCTCACTGGATAGCCTGCGGTTCTTGACACACAGAACAGCCTGATGTGCAACCAGCTGGTTCCTCCTCCTGAAATGCGCCCACGCCCCATGTTGGGCTACTCTGTCAGAGTCACTTCCTATGAAAGGCCCACCCTGACCACACTAGATGACAGAACAAGCTCCACCTTCCCCAACACTCCCTAAATATTTGCTGAATGTAAAGCAGCGGGATCCCAGCTTCCCCCACACGCCCCCAGTTCTTGCTAGGTGGCTATCTCCAGTGTCTGTGAGGCTCGTAGATATGCCCACAGAGAAACAGGGAATTACCACAATCTCCAGTTAGCATCTTTCATTCTGAGTTCCCACGGCTCCATGTTTCTCACTCATAAGCTATGGAGAACCTCCCTGCAACTGCCCATCCTTGGGTAGTGAGGGTTCCTGCCAAGGGTGCGGTCCCTGCCTGTCCCCAAGGCCTGCAGTTCTCCGGTGCTGCAAAAGTACTGGATGCTGGGCAGAGGAAAGGAGGGCCCCTTTGCCAGCAACCTGCCCCTGGGCCCCGAGGCAATTCACTACTGAGACTCAATGAAGAGTTTTTTAATCTGCTTTGGCCATCGGCCCCATGACCACTGGGCTAGAGAGTGGGAGGCATGCCAGCCCTTCCATCTTCCCTACTTTTCTCCTCAGCAGCTTCTTCCCCAATTCCCCTCTCCAGAAGGGAACAAGAACTTTTATGTATGTATTTATTATGTACAAATACCAACAGGTACACAGAAATCAACAGCAAGGGTATGTGCGTGAGGAAGGGGGATGGTCCTAGTAGACTACTAGTGCCTATTTGGTGCCTTTATGCAAATTAGGCAAAGGCACCCCTTCCTCAAGACACTTTACCTTCGTCTTCTAGGAAACTATCGTAATAGGTGGACAAATCTACAATGTCGAATGTTGGCAATACAAACTGTTTCCCCAAGTGCCCTGCTATGCAAGACATCTGAATTGAGCTGGCACCTTCCTGCCAGTGGCACACTGTAAGCAGTCAGTACACTTTGACTTGTTCAATTAATAAAGTTTATGAACATCAGGAGCACGGTGAACAATCCAGTCCTTCCAGAATTCTGAGTTGTTTTCAGGTAACTGATTCTCCAGCCTCTCTCTCTAAATCTGTGAAGTCAGGCACAAGGGCACTGTGAGTGTCATGAGGGTCCTGCCTGCCTTCCAGGCCACCCTCAACCACCTTCCAGGTGTCAGCTGGATCATCCCTGGCCCAGGGCCAGGAGGAGTAGACAGGAGGACCATGAGGTGAGGGCGGGCCAGGTTAGGCCTGGTGTTAACTGAGCCTGACTTTTTCCTCCACCGGGCTCTTCTGAGGTGTGTGCAGGGAAGGGTTAGGTCATGCTGCCTGGAAGCCTGGGAGGGAGCCGGGCTGAGGCTCACCCTTCACCCACATTCCACCAGGGCAGCCTCACCCACAGCACAGGCCACCACATCAGACCTGCAGGAGACTCTCAGGCCTGGAAACTGATGGCCGAGGGGAGGGAATGTTTGCATTATTCTGTTTATTTTGTTCGAAGAGGAACACTCCAGCTTGGGGCTAAGCAAAACCACGTTAAACTGGGATGGCTTTATTCAGAGGACTAAGATTTAAAGTGTGTGCTTCCTCCCTGAACAGAGAAGCCAAACACTGGGGAGTTCCCAGCGGGCCCCGCTGCTTGTCCACTCTGGCCAGCCTGGTTCCCTCCCCAGGCTGCTAGCTGTCCACATGCTGGTGCCCCACATTGCTTCCGAAGCTGCCAGGGCAAGCTGAGGAGAGAGAAAGAGCTCTCTGTCAAGGGCTGCAAAGGGGGTCCTGGGGTGCCAAGTCCTAAACTCACAACACCGTGGATGTGGGCACCAGCAGCAGCCAGGCATCTCTCTGGTCCCGACAGGGCTGCAGTGATGTCATCTACACCACGCACCCCCTGGCCTTCCACCCTGCACTCAGAGGGTGGGGCAAAGAGCAGGGCCTGCTCCAAAGTGGTCGCCCAGTGATGGCAGACACCAGACACAAAGTGAGCAAGATCGTGAGACCCCAAAGGAAGCAGGGACGGGAGCGGTTACGACCAGGGCTCTGGAGTTAAAAGAAAGATCTGAATTCTGACTGGAATCACTTATTAGCAGTATGACAGTGGGCATAATACTAAGCTTTGGTGACATTATTTATACGAGGGAAAGAGTAACATTTACCTCAGAGCACCAGTCATGGGTCGCAGCAGGAGAGAGAAACAACACGTTCTTTCAACAGAAAGAATTAAACATAAAGAATCACTGAGTGGGTAGAAAGTTGTTAACTAGGCAACTGTTAACTAGGCAACTGGAAGGGTAAAACGCTGAATCTGAGATATTACTGAGGTGGGAACTGCAGGAAGTAGCTGCCACCCTGAGGACTGGAGAACAAAGGCAAGGAAGCTGGAATTACTAAAACTGAGAAACGTAGAGGAGGCTCCCCGCAGGGCTGACACCCAGACCTCTGAGGACTCGCCTTGCTGGGCTGGTACAGAGTTGTTGAGTGGGCATGATGAGACTGGCTCTGTGACGGTTGAAAAACCAGCAAACTAGATTCCACTATTGCTACTGGAATGAACCCACTGCCAGGGCAAGGAGGCATTGCTGGGGAGACATTGCTAAAACAGGAAGCAGACAAGAAGGTGCAGGTCCTTCTCCCTCCCCAAGACTCACAGTCCTCCTCTGCTGCCCCTGTTTGAAGAGCCTGACATGAAGCGGCTGGCAGCAAGGCATCAGTGTGACTTGCAGAGTCTCAGCTTCCGCTTCACAAAGCGGAGTATGGAGGGCTGGGCCTTGAGCTCAGAGACATTAACTTAACAAATGACCCATTCTCAGTTGGGATTAAATGTATAGAAAATGCTTAGCACAGCACCAGGTACATAGTACCATAGTAGATGCCAAATAACTATTATTATTATCATCAGTATTATTTCGATAGATAAATGGGCTTGGCAATTAGATGGAAGATAAGACAGGCTCTGTGATAAGTTGTGAGTAGAGACTAATTTCTGGATTTCAGTTCTGGAAGTTTCATTGAGAATATGAGATTCTAGGTGTAATATAAAGGGCAAATGTGATATCAAATAGTAGTAAGTCTGTAAATGAGTCATGCAACTTTGATCTCAGTGATGCCCCTCCCTCTCCATTCCTGTGCCCTTCTCCAGCTCACACATACTTCACCCCTTGCCCAGAGTCATTAATACTCTCTCTAGGACTGACATTTCATATGCTAAGCAATCCCATTTGGAAGCCCAGAGATGGTACTTTCCATTGGCTCTAGCCCCCTCCTCCTCATACCAGGATCAAATGAGAGAAGTGAGGAGTGGGAAGGAAGTCAGGGGAGGCCTGACCTCCAAGGTCTCTCCCTTTGGACGTCCTAATATCAGCTCTACCTCAGGCTGTCAACAACAGGATTCATGATCCCTTTGTTTCCCACCCACCTCCAAACCTTTAATAGGACCCTCATCACTGAGGAGGTAATGTTCTAATGCCTTGAACCCAAGAGATGCTGCTCAGCTCTTCCTCATTGCATTAGCGACTTTCTTCTCTCTTTTTTTTCTTTTTAATGGCATCTTTTTTTACAGCCATCATCCACATCCATCAGCTAAGGCTAAAATAAGCTGCAGTGACAATTCCAAAATCTCAGTGGGTTACGATGCCAGGGTTTATGTCTTACAAATATGTGTTAGCTGCGGGTCAGCTGCAGCTCTACCCCACACCCTTTCACTTCAGTACCTAAGCTGAAGGAGCAGCTCCTATCAGTAACATTACCAGGTTCACGGCAGAAGAAAAAGAGAAGATGGTGAGACCTTGAAGTGGCTCTTCAAGCTTCTGCTTGGAAGTAGCATGTATCACATCCACTCATATCTTATCGGCTAAAGAAAGCCACATGACTTCTGAGTTCAAGAGGATGATAGGCACAATACTCTTTATAATAGGGGCACTGCAAGTCACATGGCCAAGCCTGAAATCAGGGCTCATGAATGCATAATAATCTCCTAGAGAGATTCAATGAATATTTATTTTATTTTAACTTCCAGGATACATGTAAAGAATGTGCAGGTTTGTTACCTAGGTAAACGTGCGCCATAGTGGTTTGCTGCACTTATCAACCCATCACCTAGGAATTAAGCCCAGCATGCATCAGTGTAAATGAATATTTTCTTCAATAAAACAATCAACTACACCAGCAGTCCCCAGACTTTTTGGCACAAGGGACCAGTTACACGGAATACAATTTTTCATGGACTGGGGGCTGCAGGGTGGGGATGGTTTTGAGATGATTCAAGCATATTACATTTCTCATAAAGAGAGTGCAACCTAGATCCCTCACATGCACAGTTCACAATAGGGTTTACGCTCCTATGAGAATCTAATGCCGTCACTGATCTGACAGGGGGCGCAGCTCAGCTTCACTAGCTTGCCCGATGCTCACTTCCTGCTCTGCAGCCTGGTTGCTAACAGGCCATGGACTGGTACCTGTCTGCAGCCCGGTAGTACATTATCCTAGTCAAGGATACCATTACCTCCCTCCTGGATCCCAGGGTGTGAAGAAGCTAATCAAATCTGGATCCTACAGAAGAGTTTCCAGAGATCCTTTTGGGTCTCCCTGCCTCTAGCATCTGCATTTTATATAGACAGCAGAGTAGCTGCCACAATATACTTCCCCAAATGCATTAGCGACTATTATATAAATGCTATTATTACCCTGTTACTCCCTCGTTCAGAACCTTCAGCAGCTCCCTATCGGCAATCAGTTCAAATCTAAATTCTAAGGCCTAGGGCTTGAGGTTTACATCAACTGGTCCTCCCTTTCCTGTTCCACTGCATCTTGGCCCCAACTCCCCATATCTAACCAGGGGTCTGATGGGTTTTTTTTTGACAGCTGCTCCAAGATTTTGCCCAGGATGTTAATCTTCCTTTGTCTGTGCTTCTTTTGTTCCCCCCACCACCCGACTCCCTGTTTTCCAACCAGTTTGTGTTCTTCAATTTCTTGAAGAGTTGTCTTAAATCATATTTTCCAAAAAATTTCCTGGAATAACTGCCTTCTCTTTATACTCCTCAAAATTCAGAATTACATATCTCTACTCTTGTTTTTATTTTCTGTTTCTAGAATCATTGTGTGGAAAAAGATCTTGGGATTCTCTATTCCACACTCACCGCCTCCCTCTAATTTGATGTGAGGAAAGTAAGACCTAGAAAAAGAACGAGGAGGAGAGTCACTCGTGTGTTGAGAGGCTAAGTTGAGATGAGGCTTAGGTCTTCCTGCTCCTTGTTAGTATTCTTCCCCTACACCAATTTGCCTCTTTTAATTTGTATCAATTTCTCCAACTAGATGATATGTTACTTTGGGGTAGAGATGCCTCTTGTAATATTTTATACAAGACCTTTGACTTATATTATCTCTATTTATAACAACAACCTTGCAAGGTGGCAATTATTATCATTTTACCAATAAGAAGGCTGAGGGTTAGATAAAGCGAGTAACAGGCCCAAGATCAAATAATCAATAAACGACAAAGCCAGGGTTTATTGAATATCTACTGTGTGTTTGGAATTGTGTTAGTTCTCAATTCAAAGAAATTAAAATAGGGCTGGGCATGGTGGCTCACACCTGTAATCTCAGCACTTTGGGAGGCTGAGGTGGGCAGACCATTTAAGCCCAAGAGTTCAAGACAAGGCTGGTCAACATGGAGAGACCCCATCTCTACCAATGCTTTTTTAAGTAGCTGGCCATGGTGGCACGTACCTGTAGTACCAGCTACTTGTGAGCCTAAGGTGAGAAAATCACTTGAGCTTGGGAGATTGAGGCTGCGCTGAACCATGATCATACCACTGCACTCCAGCCTGGGCAACACAGCAAGAGCCTATCTTGAGAAACAAACAAGCAAAAAACCCCAGAAATTAAAATACAATTTAGTTAAAGAACATATGTCACAGCTTCAACATAGCTCATAAAAAATCCCAGCTGAATAACATACTCAGTACTCTGGAAATTCATATAGGACAGGCATTTTGACCAAAGATACTTGAAGAGATATTAGACATGAACTTGGCAGTTAAGGATGCTAAGGATAAGTATAATCTAACCAGATGTGGTGGGTGGGGGCAGGTATTTCCATGCTGGTAAAAATGGGTTGTTTGGGAAATGGGAAAAGAATCTATTTGTCAGGAGGTGTAGCTTTCCCAGGAGAGTCATGCACGATTAGTCACAACAGATTGGGGAAAAGTTATGGAAGGCTTTGAATGTCAGGTTAAAGTATTTGGATTTTGTTCTGTAGGTTATGGAAACTCACCAAAGATAGTTGACCTATAGAAAGAATGTTTTGGCCTGTTGCATAACGTGTGAGTGGAGGGAAAGGGCTGGGAGATGTTAGACCACTTAAAGGTTACTTAAAGCGGGTTGACGACCACCTCATCACCTACCTATGAGCTAAGAAGCTTGGCATGGAGCTGGGCAGGTTTTAGGGGGTGATGGAAATATTTTTTTTGGTACAAAAATTATGACTACCATTTGGGGAGGTGGAGGTTGGAAGAGTGAGATGTGAATTTTTCAAATTGCTTGTCAAAAGCAGACAGGCTGTTTTTCTGAAGCGTGTGTGGAAGTTAAGGATATAAAAGTTTGCTCTAAGGGGACATAGAATAAGGGAATAAAGAGTCTGTTCCTAGAGAGTAAAAGGCTTTTACACCCCCAATTCCAACCCACCCTTTACTTGGGCTTCAGAGGTGTGTTTCTCTAGGTTTTTAAAATTGTACCTTTCTCTTTCATTCAGCGGGCATCCACGAGGCAAAGTGTGCGCTGCTTTCAACCCAATGACTTCCAAGGTCATGACATCTCTTCTTGCAAATAGTATCCACACCTTTATCTTTCCCATCCAATTACTTGAAATAATCACATCAACCAAATTCATTTAATTTAACACAATATTCAATTTATTGCCTGAACAAAGATGGCACTGCTCACCAAATGGAAGTGTGGGCCACCCAGATAGGATTATATACAATAGCTTATATTTAAGATGTTGATTCACTGACTGGCACATAGAAATGCAAATGTGGCTCACCACAGATCATTCAGTACTAAAACTGTAGTATCTGGGCTACAGTTACTAGATCAAGGGCTGGGTCTGAATCTAGAGGTCAAAGTGTTATATCTATAATAAAAGTAAAAAAGTATGGGCTGAACAAAAGTTGAATTTAAGATAAATACATAAATCAATGCATTAATTATGTGCATAAAATTTTTTTAACCTTTCTTTACAATGTCTTAATTTGCAACCTTCCAGTCTTTGATAGGACTCATTTCTGTACTCTCTCAAAACCCAGGGTCTATCTTAACTTTGTGGTTAAGAAAAATCTGGAAGTATCAGCCTAATGAATGTCAAGGGAAGTAAAAGTTGATCAAGTAATTCCCAAATACTATACCCTACTCTGGAAACCCAGGTTATGTTTGTTTTACTTTCCACAGAGAAAACCTGTACATTTTGTTGGGTGATCCAGGAACAGTTATGTGACCTGAAACTGTGTAGCATATGTCTCAATATTATTTCAGAGATAAAAGGAGGAAGAGTTTTTCAGCAGGATTTGGAGGGTCTAAAAATAGGGTCCTTGGCTTACATGACTAGTGTCCTTTCCTTACTTAAGGGTTTGGAACTTGTTCTGTGTGCCGTATGCTTTTCTGGCAGTCTAATGCAGGCTAAGAACCCCTTTTCAGAAAAAATAATATTTTAAAATTCCTAAAATAAACTACATACACTTAGAAATAAAATCAGTTAGACCAAAACATGGTTATCAAATTATTGAAAAACAAATTTATATTATAGGAATACATATACCTCTTTATTAACACTTTAAATAACAAGGTCACTGGCAGAGCTAATGAACACTGTGATTTTGACACAGTGCTAAGTGTTGACAACATTTTGAGATATCTGCAACAACTGTAAAGTGATGTGAAAAATATGTGTAATTCTTGTTGGTGAGAGTTCCAGTACTGCTAATATTACAGTGGTTTGTTGTCTACATTTGTAATGGAAGAAAATGTTTAATTTCACTCTGGGCTTACTGCACATGAAGATGCAATTTTTTCCCCTTTCCAAAATCAAAGACTCCTCAAGTTCTATCAGTAGATAAACCCAGGTTTAAAATGGGTGTATTAAAGGTTTTGTTCTAGGTAACACATAAACCATCAACACTAACTGGAGACCACATGGACAGCTCCTCAGGAGGCATGGGGTGCCCCACTGCTTGCCTGTGGTGCTTGCTGGCCACCATACCTGGCTCCCAGCATCATGCCTTACTAAAGTGGATGCTCAGTGCATCTACTCAACAACGGCATGAAGAAGGGAATGGAGAGACAATGAGTGGGTTGGGCTTGGCTCACCCTTCCTGCCCGAACATTTGCACACTCTGTGACTAATGCAGAAGGAATTCACCAAAGCCAGCTCAGAGTCCTGTACTGCCAGGAGTGACCACAGAACACAGCACAGGGAAGGGATGGAGCAGTAATGCGCCATGGGGTGGGTGGGGGTCCATGCTTAGCCCCAAGATGGAATTCTGTCCCTTCGATAAAGATCTGGAGCAGAAAAGGAGCATGCAGCACCCAGCAACCACAGAGGGTGACCAGAGGGCTGAGCAACAGCTGAGGCTGCCCAGCTGCTTTTCTGTGGCAAGTCTATCCCCATCTGCAACAGACAAGGGATTCACTCACCAGGACCCTGGCTTCATGAGAAGATCATTTGTCAGTGTGTGTTTCTGACAATTGTTATCAGCTGAAAGTATGGACCGAAGGTGCCCCCCAGCCCATCCCCACCTAGGCCGCCAAGAAAAGGAGAAAAAGAGGCTGAGTTCACACAGCCTTGTGAAGTTCCTGGCAGGACCAAGTGTTAGAAACTTAGAAACGACAAAGACTGTAATATAAAGCAATTATTAAGATGAATAATAGTCATATAAACTGGGCGTGGATGATGAACGAATTTATTACATTTTGGACACTTTTGTATCAGGAGGACTCATATTGTAGAAAAGAGTAATCATAAAAATGGCTGTCATTTTTAAAAACATGCCTACTGTTGCAAGTACCACATGTAATTCTATTTCATTTTATCCTTGCAACAACCCTCTGAGCATTTCTAGCCCCTGTAGTGGATTGAATGATGGTTGCATCCAAAATATAGGTTCACCTTCCCAGAACCTGTGGATGGGATCTTATTTGAAGAAGGGTCTTTGTAGATGTAGTTAAGTAAAGGATCTTGAGATGAGATAATCCCAGATTTTTTGGGTAGGTCCTAAATCCAAAGACAAGTGTCCTTATAAGAAGAGGAAAGGAAAAGACACAGAGAAGGAGAAAGGCAGAGGAGAAGATGTGAAGACGAGGCACCCAAATGATGCATCTACGAGTCAAGGGATGCCAAGAAGTCCCAGCAGCCCCTGGAAGCTAGGGAGGGGAAGGGAACCCCTTCTCCCTCAGAGCCTCCAAACAGCTTGCTTTCAGGCTTCTGGTTCCCTGAACTGTGTGTCAGAAAACTGACTTCTGTTGTTTTAGGCCACCCAAGGCTCTGAGAATCAGGGAGCTGTTGTTCTAGTTCTAGTAATGAAAACTACCCATGTGACTCTGGCCAGTCCCTGACTACCAGCGGAGCCCCCGGATCAGGTGTGCACACCACACTGCTGCTCTGCTGCCTGGACAAATAAGCCATTCAAGTCGAATAACACTATTAACATAACAATAGTTTAGTATTAAGGTTAACCACCTGCCTACAATCAGACTGCCTGGATTTGAGGCCAGTTTTTCTGCTTAGTGCCTATCAGACTGTGAGTAAGTTATTTAACCTGAGTCATTTTCCTTTTCTTCTGTAAAATGGGGAGAATTCAAGAGGAGCCTTGAACAGGAAAGATATTTGGTGAAAACTAAGGAAGTCTGAAAAAAAGTATGGACTTTAGATAATAATAATGTATTAATATTGGTTTATTAATTGTAACAAATGGGCTAGGTGTGGTGATTGTCACCTGTAATCCCAGCACTCTGGGAGGCTGAAGCAGGCAGATCACCTGAGGTCAGAAGTTCGAGACCAGCCTGGCCAACATGGTGTAACCCCGTCTCTACTAAAAAAACAAAAATTAGCCAGGTGTGGTGGCACATGCCTGTAATCCCAGCTACTCGGGAGGCTAAGGCAGGAGAATCACTTGAACCCAGGAGGCAGAGGTTGCAATGAGCCAAGATGACACTGCTGCACTGCAGCCTGGGTCACAGAGTGAGACTCTGTCTCAAAAAAAAAAAAAAATTGTAACAAATGTACCATACTAAGACATTAATAATAGGGAAGACTGGCTATGGGATATATAGGAATTGTACTAATCTAAAACTCTTCTAAAATATTAAATTACATATTATTATTTAAATGGGAAAAATATCAATACCTCGCTTCACATTGTGATAAAAATTTATAACAGTGTTTGGCACATTATAAGAGGTATTGTTAGCTATTATTGTTTTAGGGCTGTTATCAGGAACAAGGAATTCATACTTGTAATGTTCCATGAAACAGGCTAAATAATTTTTTTCAAGTGAGATGATGCAACATATTTAGAGTAAGGTTGTCTGAAAATTTTACTATAACTGTAATTTTGACTCATTCCAAAGCTAAGTAAAGCCAATGTAGTAACTAAACTTTGTTTCATGCCTCAGTGTTTCCTGTTTTTTAGATCTTTTCAAACTGTGATTTCTGACTACTACTGTAATTGCATGTAACTCATGTGAACAAGATCTACTTTGTTTATCTGAGAAAAATGGAAAAAAGAGAAAGACTCACAAATTGCAAATATATCTCCTTTTTGTTTCCTATCTGCTACTGGATTCCATTTTTAAAGCACCTACATCATGTTTTACTTTTTCCTTAGAAAACCAAACAGAATGAATTGCAGTGACTTCTTTACTATTTTGACCCCACAAGGTGGACAAATGACTATACACACACACACACACATATATATGTATATTCATTCAGATTACCGCAACAATGAAAGAAGCACACTGTTGACAAAACTGGTCATTTTAAGAAGTGTAGGCTTTTCATGAGAATGACAGTGTCAGCAAAAGAGAGCCAAACTCATTCAGATTGTTCCCACCTTGCCTGATGCCTGCATCATGAGAAAGCAGCAGACAATCCAAGTTTAGAACAAAATGCTGCACACTTTCTCACCTGAAGAGATGCTTCCTACCTAGGAAGAGAATGCCGTTTCCTTAAGGGAGCTACTCTTCTGGACCTTTGGCAAGTAAGATGGGTAGATGGACAGACAGGCAGATGACAGCTTGAGGACAGTCTACTGTACCAAAAAGAAAGAGACCAAGGGCAGATGCAAGCAGCAATTGGGATCCTCTGCCTAGAGGAAAATACGGGAAAACAATAGTCCTGCGCGAAATTCATTTCACAAAGAAAACCAGTCTAGGTCATTCAGTAATAAAACTGTAGTATCTGGGCTATAGTCACTAGGTTAACTATACTAGGTTATTGGGCTGGGTCTGAGTCCAGAAATTTGTAATGAGCCATCACTACTGCAAGTGCCTTATCTGAACTATTATCAGAACGGACCTCCTCTCTGGGCTTTCCTGAGAAAAAGAATCGTCTCATGGAAAACCCATCTCGAAAGATCTTTGAATTGGAGAATGCACACAAAAGGCAGCAGTAAACAAATGAATTCACACCCGGATTTTCCTAAGAAATTTGAGTACAATATTATCATAGGATAATGAAAATAGTTTTTTGTTTAATTGTTCAACAAAAGTAAGCAATTTTCTTCCCTGTGGGGCTTCTTAACATGTTTCACAGGTTAATGCGCATTGTGAGTTTCTGATGGAAGATTTAATAGTCTATATTAAATAAACTGCAGGAGCATTTCATTATCAGGGCAAGGATTAAGAGCTCTCTTCAGATCACATTTTAGGAAGCTGTGCTCCTCCTCCAGCAACATTCATAAAAATAAATCCTTCTGTTGGTTAACATTTAAATACTATCTTCCTAATCTTTGGTTGCCTAAAGTTTAGGGCCTAAACAATTTCAAGACCAATCTATACCATGCAACAAATGTCCAATAATCCACCAAGGTCTGGACTGAGACCAGGGCTGACAACTGCCTTTTCTGTGCTGCTGAGCCTTACTTAAGATAACTTAATTTCATCAACGCATAAGGAATGTTTGCCCCTCCCCCAATATTTGCCACTAACAGCAATTGTCTTTTATTTAAAAACTTTCATTGTTTGTGTTTTGATTGAAACTTTAAAACATCGAACTCCTTGATTTAAAAAAATGATTCAATTTCCTTCCTTTAATAAATATTGAATCTACTGTTGAGCCTCTCGCTGCATCACGCCTCGGTTGTTACACCCTCAACCGCTAGGGGGTGCCAGGAAAGGGCGCTGGGCTTAGGAGCACCAAGGATCCACCCACAGTAGTCAGGAGGCAGCAGAGATTGCAGCCCAGGCAGGTGATTTTCATACTTCCCCAAACAAGCCTCGCATCTGACTGCTCACTGGAGCCGCTTTTTGTCTGGAAGTAATTATGCCGAAAAATATATAGATTCGTTACGTCTGTTGTGGTGTAAAACCCTGACACACAGTCTTTAATTAGAGGCCAGCTGAATTTGCTTTAAAGGCTTTTCTTCTTTCTCCGCTTCCAAGTCTTAAGACATCACTAGGTTAACGACATTTTGATTAGCTTGTTAGAATAATTTATTATTTAGCCTTTTTAACGATTAAGGTGTTCATATCATACCCAATCCTTTACTCTATTTGATTCCCTGAAAACTTACTGACAGGGTTCACCGAGTATGCATCTGAAACAATCAGAAAATTGCATAAAATGGCAGTTAAAAGTAATAAATCCTCCATGAACCCGCCCAAGGATGCGCCTCAAACATGATCACTGGCTGAGGCGAGAGGATCACCTGAGGTCTAGAGTTTTAGACCAGCCTGGGCAACAAAGTGAGACCTCCATCTTCACAAAACATTTTTTTAAATTAGTTGGGCATGGTGGCACATGCCCAGTTACTTGGGAGACTGAGGTGGGAGGATCGCTTGAGCCCCAAAGTTTAAGGCTGTAGTGAGCTAGGATTATGCCACTGCACTCTAGCCCAGTAATAGAGTGAGGCCCTGTCTAAAAAGCAACAATAAAAAAAAATAATAATTATTGGCCACCATTTCTCCCAGCTTTTTAAAGGATTAGAATTTTCCCTATTGTTGCAGCTGAATAAATTGCATCTTTAAGGTCAAAAGAAATTTGAAGCCCTTCCACTTTCCAAGGAGTTTTTAAAAGCAAAATATACCCATCTCTTCTGCCTTCTTACGAGGGGTATTTTTTTAATCTGTTGGGGAGACTCTTGCTACTGAAACTGACCCCAGTTAGTCTATCAGCGCAGGTAGAGAGAACTAGAGGACCACAGGGATTTTCCAGGTTTTCTTTTGCAACCAAAAAGTCATGGGGAATTCCAGAACAGAAGATGCTGGCTAATCAGACCTCCACTGGACTGAAGGAATGTTAACACAGCATACAAACAGTCTCCATACAGCACTGGGCTACATAGTTCAGATCTTTCTGGTTCTACCAGGGAATGCTTTTTGCAGAGTTATGGCTCCTCATGACGCTCCAGGTTGTTAGAGCAGATGAGAGCTCACGATGACTCTGCTGATGAGCAGATGGTATTCTCTGAAACAGCGGGAGAAACCTGGTGGTGATGGTGGGGTTGTTGATTCAGGGCCTCAAGAACTGCTAGAGTCATTGTTGATCCCTTGATTTCTCTCCCTCCCTATGAGGAAACTGTTTGTAAATGCTGTCTATCTTGGAAATATATCAAGAATCCGATGTCTATCTTGGAAATATATCTAGAATCCAAACACTTCTCACTACCTCCCTTACTCCCACCATAGCCCAAACTGTCATAATCTCTGCTGAAACAGCCTCCAATAAGGCCCCCCAGCTTCCAACCTTATCATCTTATTAGTCTGCGCATCCTTGCCACCTTATAAGCTACATCATGTCCAACCAAAACTCCATAAACGCTTCCCTTCTCACTTAGAATACAGATCTGGAGCCCTGACCATTGCCCCCTCCTGCCCCTCCCTCATGAGCTGCCCTCTTCCCTTTGCCTGTCTGGCCCCTCTCCTCTGGCCTCCTTGAGTTCACGTGCTCGCTCTGCTCCAGCCTCGCTCGCCACCTTGCTTGTCCACAAACCCTCCCATCCCAGGACCTTGCACTTGCTCTTCCCACGGGCAGGACTATTTGTCCTGCAGAGAGCCCTGCGACGCCCTCCCTCCTTTCCCCAAGGCTGTGCCTAACCACCTCAGCAGAGAGGGTTTGCTGGCCATGCCACCTCGGCCACTCTCTGACCTCTTCCCATCCTCTATTTTTCTCAACATTTGTTACCATCTGACATCTTTATTTGTTCGTGGGTTTCTTGTCTGTCTCTCCAACTGGAATGTAAGCTCCATGAGGCAGAGACCCTGTTGGTTTTAATCAACACTGTGCTGTCAGAACAGTGCCTGGTCCATCGTGGGGTCTCCACAGGCAGCTGCTGAAGCAATAAATGAGTAAATGAAAAAAGAAGGCTCAGCAGCTCTGCAAGCTGTGAGTGAGTGAACCACTTGGCAATCAGTGTCTGTTCACGCGACATCTTGCTATTTGCTTCACAGATAGGTAAAAGGGGCCTAACGAGTCTAGTTCTCAGAGTCAAGTCAGAATAAATTCACATCTGATGGTATTTTTCTGGAAAATAACGTCTTTGGATTTATTCCACAAACTAAAAGACAGAAAGAGTTCAATTCTTTTAGACTTCAATCTAATTTCTGAACCCTGACTGTGTGGGCCTCTGGAGCAGGCCTAACTCACAGGACAGGCTCCCTGTAGCTGGCAGTGTGACTGCCAGGCTCACTGCCAGCTACGGGGAGTGGGGGTAGGGTGGGGTGTGGGTGGTAACTGTGAAGTGCGGGGGGGTGCCTGTGGCTCAGGGGCCGGAGTTCATCCTGAGTCATCTCCCGGCCACAGGAAATGCCCACAGCCGCACTCTCCTGGACTCAATGCCAGGCCTGGCTCCTGACCAGCAGGCCCAGCTTCCCCTGAACAGCCAGGCAACATGTTTTGTTTCATTTTGTTTTTAAGTGATTTGCACTGACTTCAAAGCAGAGAAAGATGGTGCGATCCAGGACCACATCTTTGTCTCATTTTTGGTGGCCAGAGATCCACAGGATAAGCAACAAACAAACCCAAAAGGAAATCACTAGACACAGAGCTAGAGCTAGAACCATAGTCCTGAGATAGAGAGGCAACATATTTTTCAAGTTCCTTCTGGAATTTCACTTCTTGTTGGCATCTTTTTGATGATTCTTTGTACATCTCTTATCTACCAGGAGGTGGTTTGCAGGGTGATTCTGAACTCAGGTGGGAGGGTAGTAGCCTGTCTCCAGGGCCCTGTTTTCTGAGCAGTGAGGTGATCTTGGGAAAGTTGTGTAGCTTTTCCATGCCTCAGTTTCCTTATCTGGTAAATGAAAGAATAGACCCCATTTTATTGGGGGCCTTGTGAGAACAAAATAGGGCCACCCTAATACAATATTAAATGATACCTGGCACTTGGTAAGTGCTCACTAAAACGAGCAAGAATAAACACGTGTCCCAAGTGAAATCAAAGGAGGGTTTACAGGAAACTGAGAGAGCTTCAACCCAGGCTCCAGTGTGCACAGGAGCCTGGGAGTATCTGGGAGCTGTGGGTGACTCCAGGTGGGATGGAAGCCAGATTACCATGGGGAAGTGTCTTTTAGAAAGCATTTCTGGTGAACTGCCTGAGGTGATGTTAAGAAACAAAGAGACTGGAATTTTCAAGCTTTCAGTAATTTGTTGTCATGGGTTTTTCCCCCTCACTTGAAATAAATATACACTTTCACGCATGGTTTATTTCCAGTTTTGCATTTCTTTCTTTTTTTTATTTTTTAAGAGAGAGTCTCACTCTGTTGCCCAGGCTGGAGTGCAGTGGTGCAATCTTGGCTCACTTCAACTTCTCCCCCTGGGTTCAAGTGATTCTTCTGCCTCAGCCTCCCAAGTAGCTGGGACTATAGGCATGTGCCACAGTGCCTGACTAATTTTTGTGTTTTTTGTAGAGACAGGGATTCACCATGTTGACCAGGCTGGTCTCGAATTCCTGACCTCAAATGATCCATCCGCTTCGGCCTCCCAAAGTGCTGGGATTACAGGTGTAAGCCACCACACCTGGCCTGTGTTTCTTTTCTTAAAGAAGGCCTCCCAAATGGTATAATCTTTAGGCCCCACAGAACCTGGACTCATCCCAAAATGGTGTAATGAAATCTTCACCATATTCCTGAAAGGTGGAGATTATCTCTCTTTCATAGTCTAAAAACTAAAGTGTTGAGAGATAAACACTGTCGCCACAGATAGGAGGACCTGGCAGGACTGCAATTTGAACCCAGGACTCCCTACATCCAAAACCAAACTCTTCCCACTACACTCAGCTTCCTCCCATTATGGGCATCATGATGGCTTTAAAAAGTAAGTGCCAGATTCAAATGGATATCCCTACACCAATGTTCATCGCAGTACTCTTCATAAAGGCCAAAAGCTGGAAACAGCCTGAACATCCATTGACAGACGATTAGGCCATCAAAATGTGGTATATCTGTATAGTGGAATATTATTCAACCTTTAAAAGGAAGGAAATGCTGACACATGCCACTACATGGATGAACCCCAAAGACATTATGCTAACATGAAATAAGCCATTCTCACAAAAGGACAAATATATGATTCCACTTATGTGACGCACCTGGAGTAGTCAGACTCATGGAGGCAGACAGTAGAGTGCTGGGTGCTGGGGGCTGGTGGAGGGGAAATGGACAGTTACTGTTTAATGGGTGAGGAGTTTCAGTTTGGGCTGATGAAAAAGTTCTGGAGATGGTCGGTGGTGAGGATGGCACAACAGTGTGAATGCTCTTAATGCCACCAAATCATATACTTAAAAATGGTTAAAATGGTACATTTTATGTTATGTATATTTTACCAAAATAAACAAAAAAGGAAACCCCAGCCTAGAATGTAAGGCCTAGGCCACAAAACATTTCTTTAGCACTTAGCAGCCTGTGGGCATTGTGAACAAGGATGACAGGAAAGTGTTAGACATCCTTCTTTAAGGGAATCTTTCTGAAGGTCGCAAAAAATGGAACAAATGTATCTACTTCCAGGTTGCTTGCTCCCCCTGTTATGCACAACCACAAGTCAGCCACAGAATTCTGCAAACAACCCACTGTGCAAGACATCACACTCAGAGGTACCTCACAGTGAGACCCACAGACAAAGCAGCCATTTACCTTGCCTTCTTTTAGCTACTCACAATGAAACGTTTTCACAGAAAGACACCTGGAGGTGGAAGACTTGCCACCGGTACTTGAGATGAAGCAGGTAGCACAGCAAGGCCCGCCCAAGAGCAGACAACCATGACTAAAGTCCCCAGGTTTCCAGTTGGTTCCCAGGCAGGTTGACTCAGAGTTTCCTCTCCCAGGAGTGTTGTGAGGTGCCCCGGGGCAGGCCCAGCTGGGGCCTGGACTGTCTTTATTTGATATGGATGAATGGCTGGATCTGGGAGAGACTCAAGCTAACTGCAGTGACTCAGACATCGGTTCACTAGCTTCCTGAAGTCAGAGCACCGCCGAGGACAGCCCATTTCTAAGCCTCTGAAGTCAGAACCAGCGGAGGGACAGAGTGCAGAAGTTCTGCATCCCTGAGCTCCGAGCTGCTCTGTCTACCCCTGTGCTGCTTAGCCGAAGCCCCTTGAGGAGGGTCAGACTCCCAGATGGAGTCACAGCCCCCAGGCTGGGGCTCTGAGCAATCCGGATGGTAGGATTCTATCTGATGAGCCTGACCAGCCTGTCTGAAAATGTGGATGGTATGACAGAACCTTTGGATGTTAAGGAATGTAATATCCTCTCAACCACCCACAAGTAATGGGAATTTGCTGTAAGAATACACATTACTTTAAAAGAGACGGGATCCTGGGGAAAATTAAGAGCGAGGCCTCTGAGAGATCCAAGCTGGATGGGCATTTGGGATCCATGGCAGCTCTAGGCCTGGGCCGTGCTCCTTCCCCCCGGGCAGAGTGAGTTTGTAGATCTGACTCTAGCACTCTCCAGTTTGTGTGGCTGAGGGCCATTCTTTGCTGATTGCATATTGGTCCTCTCATCTCCCACCCCATGTGGCTTTCTTCTGCCTTGGGCTTCTGCCTCTTTGTAGCTGCCGAGTCCTCCTAACATTGACTCCAGAAGCACCTGGTTCCCTCCAACCTTATGCGCTCTCTCCATACATCCTGCCAGCCTCACCTCCCATTATCAAACTCCTGATTTTCCATTTGTATTTCCCATTTCAGATTCTACATACACAGAAACAGAGGTAAGTAATCCAGCTGGCATGGCTAAGGAGACACAGTTTTCATTTGGGGGACTTTACAAGATGCTGGCATCTCATGAATTGACAGCTCACCGGACAGGCAGGGCTGCCACCCTCCACAGCAGTGTGGATGTGGTACTTTCCAAAAGAGGACAGCAGGCACCCCCCTCAGGAAGCAAGGCTATGTCTCCCCAGTGTCTTGCTCCTTGGTACAAATTAGCCAGCAGTCCCAAGGTGCAAACAGAGTGGATAGATATTCTTTCATAACATTATTCTACTTTATATTGTCTCAAATTCCCCCCTGCCTTTTCTTCACGCTGCGTTTTAAGCTTTTTCTCAGTTTTCGGCACAACCCAAGCAGGGAACACATTTTCCCTTTCCTGATTGTATTATTTACCTTCCTACACCATTCATTCATTTACTTATCTATTTACTCAATATCCATGAAGCACCTGCTTTGTAACTGGTGAAATACTAGACAATGAAGACTTAAAATTCACGCATATTCTCAACATAAACATTAATTGACTACTTACAAAGTGCCAGGCATTGTGTTACTTGCTGGGAATAGAAAGATTACTGAGACACAGTTGCTGTCTGGTACATAGCAAGAATTGAATAAATATTTGTTGGGTAAAGGCAAGTATTTTGACAATTACAAGCAGAGCCAAAAGGGCTATCTTGGTGAATGTCCACAGGAAGAGAGGCCTAGAGAAACCAAAAAGTGTTTCCTGCAGACACTAATGTTTACACTGCGACCTGGAGGGCAAGCTGAATCAGCCAAGTGAGAGGCAGGAGAGGGAACCCAAGGCATGCAGGAAGAACAAATGGTTTGTGCGAAGGCTTGAAAATTAGGGAAGGCGTGCATTGGAGGGGCAGTCATGGGGGACAGAGAATAAATCAATCAGTGTGATTATGATTCTAGGACTGATATGGAAGTCTTTATGTGGAATGGCACAAGTCCATTTAAATACATGGTCAAATTGTGGTTTTGGAGTTCTCCTAGGACCTTGTTGCTACCTGCATCTGGTTGTCAGAGGGACATGAGGATGGTCTAGAAGGGGTATGCACCACTTCCACTCACATTCTGTTGGCAAATGCTGGTGGTTGGGATTTTCTTAGCTGCAGAACAGACCAGGAGAAGTAGTCTAACTGCGTTCCCAGGAAGGAGAGATTGTTGGTGGCAGCTAGAACCATGGAGAGCTTCCAGGGAGTGGCATATCCAGAGCTGGGCAGCCATCCCGATCCACCTCCTCTAGAGTGCCTGCTCTTGGCTGCCAGGAAGGTCTGTGGGCAGACAGACAGCTCAGGACCTGGGGAAACCTCTGGAGCCCAGGGCAGCACTTGTCAGTCCAAGGCAGTCTTGTGGGATGTAAAATCTTTTCTTCCAAAGTGAGGTTTGAACGTTGCGCGTTCAGTCTCCAGACAGAGGTGGATTTTGAGTAGGAAATTGACAAGAACTATGAAGGGCCTGAGCTTTTACCTGACTTGCAAGCTGACAAGTTAGCTTGTCATGGATTCGTGGGTACTGATGGAGACATGTGATGCCTGGGTCACAGAAAAAGAACTTTTTAATTCACAGCAATCGCAGTGGTCAGAGTGCCAGCATATTCTTTCACCAGTTCCCCAATGCCATTTCCCACAAGATGGCACAAAAGAAAGAGGTGACACCTGCACATGTAGTAAGATGTGTTATAAGAGAAGAACTTTGAGTTTAGGGAAGCTGAACCTTTTATAATGGGCAGTAAAACAGGCCTACTCTTTGTTCTGGAGGTTGACACTGTTTCTAATTTTTCCTTTTCCCTAAAGAGGGACACTGTCTCTATTTTCAAAGGCTGTTCACTTTATAAACATCCTGGAAAAGATAGTCTAGAAAAAAGGCAGCCAGGGCCTCTGCTTGTAAGATGTGCAGAAATGTGAGAAACACTTGAATTTGTCTTCCAACAAAGACAGGTTCCTCTTTAGCAAGATGGAGTGTTCTTTAGATAGAAGCTTCGTTTACTAAATCCTTCTCCTCTTGATCTCTAGCTATCTAGAGGCCCCAGGGCTCCGTCCTCAGAGCTCTTCCCTGCGTACATTCACTTCCTGGAGGGATCTCATTCAGCCACATATCTCTGAACACCATCAGCCTCATATCTTTAAATCCGTGCTGATAATCCCAATTTACAATTTGCACTTTGACATTGCCCCCATTTCCAGACCTAGATATCAAACTGCCTATGTGGCATCTTAACTTGGTTATCTTCTAGCCATCTCAAACTTACCGTGTTCTTGATCCTCATCCTCCACCTGAAACCTGATTGTTCCTCAATGTAACCCCTCTCAGTAAAATGTATCACTCAGGCAGTAAAATATATCTGTGCCAGCTAGAAACCTCTTTCTTTCATATTCACATCCAATCTATCAGCACAGTCCAGTTTCGAAATAGATCTTGAATCTGATCACCCTTCTCCTCCTGCACCACCAGCATCCTAGTCCCAGCCACGATTGTGTCTGTTCTTGACAGAGACATGTGTTCCTGTCTTGCCCCATTCACCTTCCAATCTTGCCCCATACATTCTAACTTCCTCAGCAGCCAGTGTGGTTCTTCTAAAATGTAAATTAAATAATAGTATTTCTCTGCTTTCAACCTTCCAATGATACACAAGGCATAGAATAAAATTCAAGCTAAAGACTGCATATGATCTGACCTCTGTCCCCAAATCTGATCACCCTCTCTCTCCCTTCTTGTATTCCACTTGCCCTTGAAAACACCTGCCATTGGGCTGTCTCAGGCCTTCGTACTTAGCTGTGTTGCCAAAGTCATCTAGGGCTCTCTCAGATGCCAGTTGGTCAGGGAAACCCTCCCTGACTATTCTAAAGAAAATCGCACACTCCCTCGCCCCTCTTTCCTTTTACCCGGACTTACTCTGATTCATAGCCCTGGGCACTGCCTGATTTTAGGAGTCTATCCCCCGCACTGCCCTCCAGCCGAGAATATATGCTGCCTGGATCCAAAAACTTGGTTGTGTCCACTGATGTAGCCTCTGCTTCAAAAATAATATTGGACACAAAGTAAATGTCCAAGAAGTATTTGTTGAATGAATGGATAATGAATGAATAATAGTTAATACTGGATTTTTAAAATGACAATAACAGAGACACAAACAATTTGTGGCTTGATCTTTCTTCTTCAAGATAAATCAACTAATTTTATATAAATTTTCTCCCAAAATGCTATCTTCCAATTCTTCAATAATTCTGGATTGTTACTGCAGAATTCTTGCCATGTTTTTCCAGCTTCTTGGATATGATGGAGTTCAAAATTGAACATAACATAGGCTTCTGAGAAAAGCCTAGGTAGTCTATAATTAGTTTCTCTCTTTCTTTGGTTTATTTTATTTTAAAAATTATTTTATTTTAGTTTTTATTTTTGTGGGTATATAGATATTTATGGGGTACATGAAATGTTTTGGTACAGGCATGCAACGTTTAATAAGCACCTCATGGAAAGTGGCATATCCATCCCCTCAAGCACTTCTCCTTTGTGTTACAAACAACCCATTTATAGTCTTTTAGTTATTTTTAAATGTACAATTAAATTATTGTTGACCATAGTCCGTTTCCCTCTGTTTACAGGTTTCACATGCTTACTTAGGAATGCTCCTTGAAAAGATTATCTCCTCAGACATAAGCCCAGCCACAGAAAAGTCTCTCTAAGGTCAGCAGTTTCGAGAGTGACGAAGTGAGAATTTGATTCTTATCTGTTCACAGACTCTACGAATCCCGAAATACCCTCCTGAAGAACACACTGGGGGAAAAATACAAACAACCTTATGGATTTAGCCATAGATCATATATATTTTAAATTGTCACTCTTTCACTCAACAAATAAATATCTCCTATGTGCCAAATCATGAGCCAGAAGTTGGAACAGCACGTTGTGAAGAGAACTTGGTCCCTAGCCTGAGGGATTCAGAATCTTGGGCACCATCATTTGTGTTTTCATCATTGTTGTCATGAATGTCTTTTGACACATTCTTATTTTGATCTCCTTTGATTTTTGTATATTATGATTATTTCCAATATCATTTTAAAATAAGAATTTTATACTTATGGAAAAATATATGCCATCTAATTTGAAAAATAAGGAAACAGTGCTTTGCTTTCCCTAGCCTGCCTACTCATTTACTGTAAAATAATAATTTTTCTTTTTCAGGGTTCATTTCAATTTTTTGAAAAGGATTTAGCAATGAAATACAAAAATCTCAGTTATTTTCATTAAGCTCATTTTTTACTTTCCCCACATATAGGCTATATGCTTTATTTAATATCTTTATTCTTTACATTAAGTTAAAATTATTTTAGAAATGACTATTTCAATTGCTGTTTTGACATTTCATTGATCAATATTTCACTAAAGATAATAACTTTCTCTAGGATGCAGAGAGACTCATAGAACTTACACCAGAATTTCCACTGAATGAATTTCCCCACCTTCTTGGTGATTGTACACCTGCCTTCCTTATAAGGCGAACAAGGAAGTAAATCATGTTGAAGTTGCTTTTAAACACAGCTTTTCTGCTTTACCTGTCCAGGTAGCCTCTGTTTTCATTTCAGTCTTAATGAAATCTTTCTAACTTACATCTCAAGTTTCTTTTCAAAGCAGTGTAAGTAGTATTTAAAATGTTACACTTCAAGAAAGAAAGACTTTAACGATATTCAGCTTTGGTCTTGTAACGCTGAAGGTAATTCATTTTTTAATCGGTCTGCACAGCAAGAACTGAAGCGAATGGGGATTGAACTGCTTTGCCTGTTCTTTCTATTTCTAGGAAGGAATGATCACGTACAAGGTAAGACCTACGTTCTCCGATATATTGCTTTCGTGGTATGCTTGACAAACCTGTCATTTGGTTCAGAAACTAGATCTGAAGTCATGTTTTATTTGATCTGTTCCATTGCTGTTTTGTCACTGAGTGAACGCTTTAACAAATTACAGACAAACACCGGGCAGTTCCCACAATGAATGCTCTAGTCTTAAGGTAAATAAATACAAAGGTTGCACAGGCATTTTAATGAGGAGAATTAAATAACATTGCTGCCCAATGGAACTTAGTGCCACTGTGATAACCATTTTTGAAACTTTTCTATTTTATTCTACCACAAGATCTTCCACTTAAGAGTAATCATCTTGAAAGAGAGAAAGGATTTATTTCAAAAACAGAAATACCTCATTTAAGAAAGAAGCATTTTTTAATGGGTGCAAGTGATTTTTAAAAATTAAGGTGGAACAATAAATAGGATAATCCTATATTTGTGAACTTTCACATTTTAAGAAAAAAGAGGATGATAATTTTGGCTTATAAGACATACATACTTTTTAATACACATACACATATTTTACATGTGATAGATGTAAAATACAAACTTTTATGTGAATTGTTAACATTTCGAGGACTGATCTTGGATACTAAACTAAACTTTGATGTTGTTTTGTTCAAGTAATGTAAGAACCATCAGTCTCATAAATGGAATGACTGAAAGTATACTTAATCCCTGCATCTTGCTGGGTCTAAACCTAGGTGGCTGTGCCCTGGGAGGTGCAGAAACCTGTGAAGACTGCCTGCTCATTGGACCTCAGTGTGCCTGGTGTGCTCAGGAGGTAAAATAAATGACCTCAACATGTTTTTAAAACCTGTCTGCGGTTACACTCATGTTAATTTCCTCAGTGATAGTTCTGATAGTGAATTGCTTTTTTGTGGAATTGTATGAGTAAAACAAATCAGGAAAGGAGAAGATGAGCATTGGTAGATCAAAATGGCATTCATGTGATTACTTTCAAAAACAATTTGTAGAAGGAATGGATGTCAAATTATTTGGAAACATATGTAACTTGGGATTTTTAATTTTACCTCACTCCTTCTCTTATTGTAAAGCCATTTCTAACTGGTTGCATATAAAATATGGAGGCTGTCTGGATAATCAGAGATCATGGAGATGGATTTTCTAAAGTTAAACATACATTTGATGCTCATATTATAGTTATATTCCATCTGGGTACTAGGATCCATTCTGAACTACTGCTAGGTTCTAAGGGATGTGTTTTAAGCTTGGGGCAAATATTACTGTTAAGGCATTATCCAGTTCTTTTAAAAATGGCATTTTCATAAACTCAGTGACTCTGTACCACGCCAGTGACAAAGTTGCAAATAGGCACTCCTTATCTGGTCAAACTGAAAACTATGTGAAATCAGTGTGAAGATGATCGGGGAATATCTACCAAGCCATCCTAAGACACTAGAGAGTGATGTCTGACTGATTCATGGTGAGAAAGACAGACATTAGCTTTCAGAATTTTAAAACAAGTCTCTACCCACTGTATCTCATAAAGATAATCTAAACATAAATCAAATCATACAAATACCAAGTTCAGCGAGAGTTGAGCATGCTCAGCTCAAAGAGAAACAAACCTCAACACCTCAACACCAAACTCAGAACTGGGTTCTACCTGTGGAAACCCAAACTCTGAGTTCAGTGTGTATCCATGAAGACAAGAGAGCACAAACGTAGCTCAGTCTCCTACCACAGCCTTGACCGACGCGACCACAAACAAAAGTCCAAGAGAATTTTGCCTTTTTTTGAGTTCCTGTATCAAAGCAGGATTGAGAAGATACAAGGAGGGAAAAATTCACATGTTTTTGGGTATTGACTTCCTGAAGAAGTATTAGTTTCATGCCAGAGAGATAAAATAACAAATCAGCCTAGAATTTTCATTTAAATGCATTTTTTAGCATTTAGTTAAGAGAGTTTCCTAAGTTGATGCTGATAACTTTACTTGTGGATAATACTTGGTAGCCAAATTGTTGTCAAATTGTAAAGCCAAATTATTCTAAGAGGCCACTCTAATATTAGAAGTAGTTATGAGGATGCCAGTTGAGGCAGTTGGAGCAAAAAGTAAATTAGGCTTCTGCTTAGGGCAGATAGAAAATAGGTCATGCGGTTAACACCACCTCTGATCTTTTGGCAAAGGCTATGACTAGAGGTGATAGCAATGACACTGTGTTGAGAAGGATTCTGAAGCCTTGGCCAGCCACTGTTTCCCTTAGTGACATCATGGGAAGTTATACTTTGCCATGCCTGGCCTAGAGCTTCAGACATGCACAGGCCTACAGATTGATAACAAATTCTCGAAATCAATTCAGAAGAAATCTAACTTTCCTAGCTGATGAAAACAGCAAGAGTGGCTTGGAGTTCTAAGAGGCAAGGAAAATAGTGTGAGCATTGGTTTTGTTTTCTCTAAGCATGAGAGTCAATGGGCAACAAGTTCCCCTTTGCATAGTGTCATGCCCACTCTAGAGCAGTCGTGTCTATCAGGTAAGTTAGGTATTTAATCTGTTAGCTCCATCTCCCTGTTTTGGGTGTTCCAGAATTTGAATGACCACATCTCTGCTGGGAAAGACTTCATCTCACTGTACCTCTGCTATCCTTGTGGGAACTCCTGTGTCCCACACAGAAAAGCAGACTTTTAACCCATCTTTTTCACTTTTCTTCCTCACTTTCAAATCTTGGAGAAAGTTCTAAAGGATCTTGAACTAGAACGCTTCAAGACTCTGGGTTTAAAGTCCACAAGAGGTCAATTTTGGTGAAGTCATGCTGCAATATAAGGGTAACAGACCAGTGCATACAACTGGCAGAGAGTGCTAGATGGGGGAGATGTTGCAATCCCTACCCTTTAGGAATCCTCAGGATCTCTCTTTATCACTAGATTTAGGGATTGACACTGGAGCACTTGGACAGTGTGTCAATTCCCAAATCTAGTGATAAAGATTTGATTGTGGAATCAAACCTACAGGTCAGCCTGAGCAGATAAATTCATGGAATGATGTCAACTTTATGAACCCAACTGTTTCAAGGATCTAGTCATGGCCTGGGAAGACGCTTTAAAGAAGTGACCTTAAGACCTCCCCCACACTCCCTCCTACCCACCACCCCCAAAATTGTTACATGAATTCAAGTGAATATAATTGAAAGGAGACTCCAGTTTTACCCAAAATTTTACTGGCAGAATTCTCTGGTTATTCACCTATAACTTAACTTTAGACCTATAATCAATTTTAGTCATGTAGGGATACAATATGATAAGAAGCTTAACGAGCAAAGTGTGCAGAAAAACTTTCAATTGCTGGTATCTTATAAAGAAATTCAGATTTGTTTTCTTTTTCTGGTTATTGTTTTTCTTTTTCTTTTTTAGAATTTTACCCGTCCATCTGGAGTTGGTGAAAGGTGTGATACCCCAGCAAACCTTTTAGCTAAAGGATGTCAATTAAACTTCATCGAAAACCCTGTCTCCCAAGTGGAAATACTAAAAAATAAGCCTCTCAGTGTAGGCAGACAGAAAAATAGTTCTGACATTGTTCAGATTGCACCTCAAAGCTTGATCCTTAAGTTGAGACCAGGTATGTTAGGATTTGGCTCATGTAAATAGATCTAATGTTATATATGGTAATTCTGCTACCCCACTAATGTGTCTTGTATCATATTACATATCATTGATTATTATGACTCGGATTTCCCATTCTTAAGGAAATCAAAAATTGCTAGGCTCACACATTTCTTTATTCACATCGGTCCCTGGCACTCCAGTTGTGTTACTGAAGAAGCCATCTCTAATAGTAACCATTTAAATTACTCAAATGTTGTTAACGCTTACCTCACATTTCTTCAAGGATTGTAATGTAGATTTAAACTCTCTTTTATTTGGTTCCCCTTTTCTAAAACGACACACAAAAAATTCAGCTTATCTTCTATCTAAATGGATGCTAGTTCTCCCAAGGAGATATAAAATATCCTAACTTATTCTCCAATAGTTCTAAACTCACTGCTGAAAGAATTTCATGGGTTGGTTCATTTAGGATCTTAACCACACAGTTAACGAAATCCTATGTATTTCAGTAAGTTCTTATTGAGGTGAAATAGCCAGCTGACCCAGCAAGTGGCCAGTTGCAAATAAATCTCAGTGTGTTTTCCTGGGTTTGCTTTTCCTATTGGGCTTTGCAGGTGGTGCGCAGACTCTGCAGGTGCATGTCCGCCAGACTGAGGACTACCCGGTGGATTTGTATTACCTCATGGACCTCTCCGCCTCCATGGATGATGACCTCAACACAATCAAGGAGTTGGGCTCCCGGCTTTCCAAAGAGATGTCTAAATTAACCAGCAACTTTAGACTGGGCTTCGGATCTTTTGTGGAAAAACCTGTATCCCCTTTTGTGAAAACAACACCAGAAGAAATTGCCAACCCTTGCAGGTAAGTAAATGATTCTCTTGGCATCTATGTGCGCTGATTTTCTATGGAGATACGCCTGCTCTGAGCTGCACTTGCCAGGAGCTTGCTAACTCCCTGGCATTTCTGTCTCGTCTGGTTGGATCTCAGCAGTTCTCTCAGAGGCCTAGGTTGCTTGGAGCGAGGTGAGGTCATCTGAACTACATGGTTCTAGCCGTGCGTCCTTGTGGCCTCTGCATTTGCCTCCCAGTGTAGGGCAGGATGTGGCAAACCAGAATGTGTGTTATACATGCAAGGGAACCAAGGCTTTCATCATAGGCTCCATTGGATGGTGCCCAGTCCCAGTCTCTCAGACACTTTCTAGCCTCAAGGGCCACCACTTTCTGAGGTTATTTGAAAATAACCTTCACTTTCCGAGAGTCTTTCTCCATGACAATGACTTCTGGCAAAATAATAATTTTTGCAACTTTTTCTGACATACTCTGGGAAATATTGGTTTCTCTTATTGCTTGGAGAGGGCGTGCAGCCTTCACTGCTATTAAATTCAGTAGTAAATGACTCCATAGGCAATGACTCCATTCTAATATGCTATAATAAGCTATTAAAAACCACATATTATGCAGGTGATGGTGGAGGACAAATTGCTTTGTGATGGCTTATCTGTGCAGTGAATGACATGTTCAGAATCAAATAGTCTCCTATTGAAAAAGAGCTACCATATGCTCTGTCCTAGACCTTATGCTGAAGGTTTTACATACATGACCTCATTCAGTCTTCATAATAACAGCAGGTTAAACAGCAGGTTAAAGCTAGCTTAATAACATCAGCCCTACACTCAGAGGAAGTGAGGCTCCGAGAGATTAGCTATTTGCCCAAGGCCACATGACTAATCCATGATCTGTACCGAGATTTGATTTGTCCCAAAAGCAAGCCCATTACTGCTATATATCTAATTTATATGAAATAATTTTCCAAATGTTTATTAACTTATAATACTTTTATATACCAAAGGCATCAATCTCTATAAAAGATAAACAGCTTTTATTATACCATTTAAAAAACATCTCAGTATAGTTCCCAACTACAATCTAACATAATCAAAAATAATTTAACCATAAAAGAAATTTATCAGTGATTGTAACACTTAGAAATTGTGTTTGGTTGCGAGTATCTGAGACAGTGGCATAAAAAAAGAGTATTTTTGTTTTTTGTGTTTTGTTTTGTTTTGAAATGGAGTTTCACTCTGTCACCCAGGCTGGAGTGCAGTGGCATGATCTTGGCTCACTGAAACCTCTGCCTCCTGGGTTCAAGCGATTCTTCTGTGTCAGCCTCCCGAGTAGCTGAGATTACAAGTGCCCGCCACTATGCCTGGCTAATTTTTGTATTTTTAGTAGTGACTGGGTTTCGCTATGTTGGCCAGGCTGATCTCAAACTCCTGACCTCAAGCGATCTGCCCCGCTCGGCGTCCCAAAGTGCTGAGATTACATGCGTAAGACACCACGCCTGGCCAATATTTTCTTCTCTCTTTTGCATGAAATACAGAGAAAGGCCATTCAGTGGTGATATGGCAGATCCGTAAACATGAGGAATCTAGGACTTTTTCTGCTCTCTGCTTCACCATTATTGACACTTGGATTTTATCTTCATGGTCTAAGAATGCTGCCAGGGCACTGATCATTACTTCTTCATTTCAGTTAGAAGGAAAGGAGGAAAATAGTGGCAATAAGGGCACTGTCTGCCCACTCCCTCACAACTCCTCTTCATGTATAGTTGACATGCCTAAAATGCACAGATCAAAAATGTTCAGTTTGATGTGTTTTGATGGTTAAATATACCATTGCAATCAATATCCAAAACATGATGTAGAATATGTCCATCACCTCAGAAATTTCACATTACAGTTAGTTCTACCACTTCAGAGGCAACCACTTTCTATTTCTATAATTTATATTGGTTTTGCCTATTCCTGAATTTTGTATGAATATATAATGTAGTATATGCCCTATGTTTTTGGCTTCTTTGGTTCAACATAATGTTTTCAAGATTTACCTATGATTTTGTATGTTTGCTTCTTTTTGTTTTAATTAATAATCCATTGTATATATTTACTACATTTTGTTTACTCATTCTTTCATTGGTGGACATTTGGGTTGTTTCTATTTGGGGGGACTATTATGAAAAGGCTGCTATGAACACTTGTGTAGAAGTCTTTGTATAGATGTATGCTTTTATTTCTCTATAATAGACACCTAAACTGGAGTTGCTGAACTATATGATACTTATAATTTTTAAAGAAACTACCAAATTGTTTTCCAAAGTGAACGTACCATTTTGCATTTCCTTCAGTAGTGTGACAGGGTTCCAGATATTCCACATCCTTACTGACACTTGGTGTTGTCAGTTTTTTAAATTTTAGCCATTCTAATAGGTGTGGGGTAGCATATCATTGTAGCTTTGATTTGCATCTCCTTAATGATGATGTTGAACATCTTTTCTTGTGTTTATTTGCCATTTTTATTTCTTATTTCGTGAAGTTTTTCTTCAAATCTTTTGCCCATTTGTTTCAGATTAGACTGTCTTTCCAATGTTGTGTGGTAAGAGTACTTTTTATATGCTGGATACAAGTTTTTGTCAAATATATTTTGCAAAAAAACGTATATTTTTGTCAAAAATATTCTCTCCCAGTGTATGGCTTGTATTTTCATTTTTCTGGCAATACCTTTGGTCAAGCAAAAGTTTGTAATTTTGATGAAGTTCAGCTTATTAATTTTTAATTTTATGGTTACTGTATTTTATGTCTTAAGAAATTTTTGCTTACCATAAAGGTCACAAAGACTTCTGCTGTATTTTCTTCTAGAAACTTTACGGTTAATGTGCTTACATTTAGGCTTCTGATCTCGAATTAGCTTTTGTATTTGGAATGAGAAAAAAGGTCTAGGTTCATCTTTTGTTTCCATAGAGATATCTAATTGTTCAAGCAGTATTTGTTACACAAGATTTTCTTTTCCACATTGAGTTATCTTAATGTCTTTGTGGACAAGCAGTTGACCATGTATGTGTGAGGCTAATTCTGGACACTATTCTGTTTCATTGATCCATTGCATATACCCATGTAACCACTAATGCCTCACTACCTCCCTTATTGTAGCTTTATAGAAAGTCTTGAAATCAGGACCATAAGTCCTCCAACTTTGTATTTTCATTTTGTTTATCCTAGATCCTTTGCATTTTCGTATAAATTTTAGAATCATCTTGTCAATTTCTTTAAAAAATATGCTGAGATTTTTATTGAGACAACATTGAAACCATAGATCAATTGTGGGGATATTGAACAGCTTACACACATCGAATTTTCCAATCATTTTATATGACATATATCTTCATTTATTCAGACCTTGTTTAATTTCTCAGAGCAATGTTTTGTCATTTTCAGGGTAGATATCTTGCACATGTTTTGTTTTATTTATTTCTAGGGACATTTAAAATTTTTTACTTTCAAATTCTTTGTGGATAACATGTAGAAATGCAATTGATTTTGCATATTCACTTTGTATCCTGCAAACTTCATGAATTTTCTCATTAGTTCTAGTGTGATTTTTATAGATTCCTTAGAATTTTCTGTGTATATGATCATGTCATCTATGAATAACAACTTCTTTTTCCTCCAATATCTATGCTTCTTCTTTCTTATTTCTTACCTTAATGCACCAACTTGGGTCTCCAGTACCCTTTTAAATAGATATAGTAGGAGAGGACAATCTAGTCATGTTTATGATCTTAGGGAGAAAGGATCAGTGTTTTACCATTAGGTATGTTGTTAGCTAGTGGTTTTTCATTTTCTTTCATCAGATCAAGGAAATTATCTTCTATTCCTTGCTTGGTACGTTTTTTTTTAAAAAAAAATTATAAATGGTTGTTAAATTTTATTTTCTCAACTTAAGAAGTTTTTGCCAGAAATTTTACTCAACACCTTAGACTTGTATCTCATTGGCTGGCATTTAGTTACATGACCACAGTTAACTATAAAGGAAGCACATTGCTAGCTGCTCCTCCAAAATCAGCATTCTGTTATTAGGGAAGAAAGAAAGATGGATGCAAGGTGGCATCTACGAGCAGTTCCTGCAACACTGAATACATAGATTTCTATAAAGAGTTATAAAGATTTATACCCTCAAAAATGCTGTATAATAAAAAGTAAGGTATGATTATTGTTATTCATTGCTTGATTCACTTGTAAAGGGAAATAAGCTTGGTGCTAACAACCTCTTAACTATCTAACATAAAAGTATTGCTAATGGTTTTGGCCCCATTTTTAAAATCAGAGAATGTTATTCCTGAATACAATTTGTATTTAGTTCTTTGGTATACTGTGTGTCTTGCCCCTACAATAAGCTTCCACAGAGAGTTTAATAGGGCAATTTCATCTAGAATTAGAAAGTGCCACCTCTGCCCCAGAGTGTATATTTAAAATCATTCCTCATGTCACAGATCAGGTACGATGTAGCAACATGCAGTACAATAATAATCATGGGAACCAATAAGTGTGGAATGTTACCAGAGAAAATAACTAAAATTAACAAGGTTGGATGGCTCAGTTAAACTGGCAGCCCAGCATCTTGAACTAATAATGAGACCCTGTCCTTAATCGGGCTTCAAGTAAATGAAAGCAGTTTGGCTCTTTATTTACCTCTGACTGTACTTTATTCATGCCTTTATTTATTCATTCATTTGTTCAACAAAATTTACTGAGTTCCAACTATGTACCAAGCAATGTGCTAGGCATGAGTATTTTTGGAAGAAAAAGACCTAGTCCCAGTTCTCAAGTAGCTGAAATCCTTTGGGGAAGCAGGTACATGATATCGCACGGTGATTAAGCACAAAGGCTTTGGAGTCAGCCCTGGATTCAGTCTTGATTCATACATTCACAAATAATGTGACCTTGGGTGAATCATTTCATTTCTCAAGTCTTCAGTGTTTTCGCTGTAAGTCTAGAATAACAACGCCAATCACAAAGAGTGGTTTTA